ATTATGACTGCTAAATTGTAGCAAAAGATTTTAAATGCCATAAAAGTATCAGCAGCAGCAATTTAATAGACTCAAGCACTTGAAAATCCATTTTAATCCAAAATGATCACTCTTTCACTTCAAATGGCAGCAATAAATCCAGACTACAGTTTTGTTAAGAACAGAGAGAGAAAAAAATTGACAATAATTTTGCCATATATCATGCATTTTCTTTCCTCGCCTCAGTCTTCATTGATATTTTTTTTGTTCATCCACAGAACTTTATAAGCATGAATATAAATGATTTTGCTGCTAGGAAATCTACAAATAACCGTTAAATGACTTTGGCACACGTTTTGTGGATGTATAAATATATATTTCTGGTTCAATAGAGTAGATCTATTTCAACCAGCTGCCTGCCTTAATATACTGAAAATTGAAGTGATTTCTTTTCATTAAAATGCTGGATTTCTTTTTTCTCGCTTTAAAGACATGAAAAATATTAAGTTCCACTCATTATTTGCAATAAATTTAGGCTGAAGCTCTACCAGGGGCTCATTAAGTTAAGAGTAGGGGGGTCTATGACCTTAATTCTAGCTACGCCCAATGATATTCATCTTTATACAGTTTAGTTGACAAATACATCCTCTATTATCAGCATATAGCAGCGAAAATATAATGACTGTATGCAAATTCATATGAAAAGAGCCATGATAGACATAGATAGAGAAAATGAGATGTCATCATTAAATATGTAAAAACTGTTTCAATGTAGGTACACGGTACACAAAAAAAAAATGTTGTTCCTCTTTCACATGCAAATTGAGAGTTGATGACGACGAAAACATTTTTTTTTTAAATTTATAAATGGGAAAGAAATCATCACATGTTTTGTGTATAGAGTGATGGAACCATTTAAGTAATAAGGAAATGAATCATAAAAACATTGCTGTGTTGTGCTTGCTTGCTGCTGTTTGTAGTTTTTTTTTTATATACGTATATCATTCCCCATGCACTATATTCTTTTAAACTCTTTCAATGCAGAATGAATGCGGCATTTTATTCACTTTAGCTGTATTGTTGGCTAATTGACTATATGGAAATTTTTTTTTTCTCAGCATTACATGAAAAATCGATGCTACAGACTGTCTGGATCTTTATGGAGTGATTTATGCAGTCATTTGTAGGATTGTGACATAGTTTATGGCTTTTTAGATCCTAAATTAAGACGACTTTTATGGAAATTTATTGTTTTGTTGGCAATTTTCACTGGATCTTTGAAAGTTGATAATTTCAAATATTTGAAAACCGTTAAAATTCAGACTTCAAAAAATCAGTAAAAATATTTATGCACTTGTTTAAACTGCGCCCAATCCATTCACATACGACACTTTTCCCACAATTTCAATTTCTACGAAAAACAAAATAAATTCATTAACTTCCCAAATACATAAACATATACTGAGCATTAATGAAGAATTGAGAGTGCATTTCTCTTTCATTTGCCAGACCCTGCTGCTTTTAATGATAAAGAAATTTTTTTTTCTTCAAAATTAATTCCTTTTTGTCGATAATTTCACACTTAATTGATTTTCTTTTCTTCGTTACTTGCTCAGCTAGAAACAAAACGACATTTTTGTGGTGGATATATGAATTTGTGGCAGCTGATAAGTAAGCAAAAAAAAAAAAATACAATTAAAATTAATGTCGATAGGAAAGTACGGAGAAGAATGCTAAAAGCCTCAAAAAAATAAACAATAGCATGTGGGCACTTCCACCCTAAAGAGAAGAAGAAAAATTCTCTGGACGTACAACCTTCGTTAATTGTTTGCAACATGTAACAACGTGCCTTCTAAAAATAGACATTAACAATACACATAGCCAGGTGAATACAAGCGAACGAACCAACAGAAGAAGAAGTATGTAGGAATAAAAAGAACAATAATAATGAAATTCCAATGAGAAATGACTTAACTAAATGACAAATTATTTCGTTTCGGTATTTATATGAACTAGTGTAGACATTGAAATGATTGACGAAAGCGCATTAACAGATTTCAAAATTTAACGGTTAAAATTTAAAAAATTACAGAAGTCCTCGTGTTATTGATCGAGGGACTTAAGCGTTATTTTGTGTTCATTTACAGATCATTAGAATATTAGAAGATCATTAATTTTAGTGCAATTAGCAAATAATTACAATGAATGCTTATATAGAAAGGTTTTGTTATTTAACGGTCAAAAAATAATTTGAAATTTTCCCGCTAAAAGTTGCACTTCAAAAACAATAACTATAGTATAATTAATAATTTGTAGCAATGAATTTCCATATATAAAAAGTTTATCATTTAATAATTATTTGAGATTCAAATTTTCTAACGGTCAGTAAGTTTTTGAAAGCTTCCCTCCAAAGGTATACAAAAAATCATTAATTATAGTATATTTATCAATTTAATGTCTTTCATTCTCCTATATAAATTGTTTATCATTTAACGGTTTTCTGAAGTTCAAATTTTGTAACGGTCGTATGCATTTGAAAGTATCTTGCCAAAGATTACAGTAAAAGCATTAATTATAGTATAAATAACAGTCTGTTGCAAAAAAAATTTTCATAAAAAAGGCTTGGTAATTTAACGGTTTTTTGAGATTCAAAATTTTTCAACGGTAGAAATAAATTCGAATTTTTAAACGCTCTCATCACGTGTTTTTTCATATGAAATATAAAAATCATTAATTATAGTATTTATCCATTGTTTTACGGTTCGAAAATAATTTTAAAGCCAATAAAACAATGGACCTAAGCTAATAAAACAAACTAGAACTCTCTACGATGTCTAGTTAAAAAGTTTTTCTCCGCCCGAACGAACAGACAAAGTGAGATATTAAGCTACCTTTTAGAAACACTCAAACAAAGTGTCAAAAACAGCATCTTAACGACTTCTGAAAAATGCGCTAAAGTACAAACTTATATGCACAGCTTTTATATATAACAAGAATTTCCAAATAAAGTAAAGATGACGGGGTTGAGTGAGTAAGAAAGGAAATAACAGGAATAATATTTGAATTCATCAACAAAAGGGACAAGAATCTCTCAGTTTTCGGTGTTGTTTAAGAAGACATTTCGGAAGCAGTTCTTTCTTTAAACAACTGTTGTCTGTTTTGATGCAAAGTTTGATTTTTGATGACCTTGAAGAGCTCTGTGCAAACAAGTTTACTTCTACATGTCTCAACTTGCTTTCGTTTCATATAATTTTTTTTTGTAAATATTTAATTTTTTTATTTATTTTTTGTGTACCTATGCACTCATATTTATTATTTTTGTTGATTATTCCAAGAAGCAGGACAACAGTTACGAAAAAAATTATCAGAAATTCTTTCGAGAATAAAAATAACAACAACATACCGCATTTTTGTGCTTTTGGAAGTAAAATAGACAAGAATAGGAGAATGTGAGATTATAAGAATTCAATAATAATATTATTGAGAGAAGTATGTATAGCAACACATACATAAGAGTATTTAAAGAAGAAATGGTAAAGAAAAAAGATACATGTAAGGCTGTAATCCGGTTTTTCATGAGCATACTCTCTTCCTTTTTATTTCAAGAGTAAGTGGAAAGTTGATTTCTTTGATAGCGCAATTCCCTATAGATGTGTTATAGGGGTGAGCATCTCTGCATTATTTTATGGATTGATCAATGAATGAGAATTGTTCTGGATGTTTGGAATTTCTTGTTGGATGTATTGATTTTGAGGAATATTCTGGATTATGACTTGCTGTCATGTGGTTTTTTAATTTAATTTTCAATTATTTTTCAGATTAAAGTTTCAATTCACTTTAAATTGTTTTTTTTTTATTTAAAAAAGTCTTGAAAAATTAATTTCAAAATATTCTTATACTTCACAAGAGAATGATTCTAAAATTTTCGAAAACATTTGTTTGAAATTATTATACTTCACAAGAGAATGATCCTGATCTTTTTTTAAAAAAATTATATACTTCACAAGAGAATGATTCTGAACTTTTTCAAAAACATTTGTATGAAATCATTATACTTCACAAGAGAATGATTCTAAAATTTTTCAAAAACATTTGTTTGAAATTATTATACTTCACAAGAGAATGATCCTGATCTTTTTTTAAAAAAATTATATACTTCACAAGAGAATGTTTCTGTATGTCTTTTTATTTAACCTCTAAAATCTAGCCAAAATTCTCAAAAAACCCACAAATCACTCAAAAATGCGGAACAGAAAAACCTCCAAGATTATAAAAAATATCGATGATTTAAAGCCTCCTTGATATTACACAATAAACGGCTCTTATCGCACCCAATATTTCAGTCTCTAAAGAAAAACATTTAATTTGCACTAAAGTCTCTCTCCCTCTCGTATAATTGACATTGAAAATATATTTTTTAAATAAAATATATTATACATGTATGCATATTAAGCAGGCAGGCAGGCACACATCACACAAAAAAATGGCAATATATCTATAGAAGTTGAGAGAGCGAATGACTTCATCATAATGCGAATGAATAATAATTAAGTTAAATATTTGTAGCATGAAGGCAGCAGTGAGGCGACACAAAGTATTTTTCTATGCTGCCTCATTTTTATTTCGGTTAATGAAACAATAACGAGAAAATAATGCTGTTGCAAATTTTTGTTTTTTGTTTTTAACTAAATAAAGAACAATCATGACACTTTACCAGCAGAAGAAACGAACGAGCAACAGAGCGAGTTGTAGATGTTGGTGACTCAAAATTCACACAATCACAATTCCTTTTTTTTTTATAATCGAAAATAAGAAATCTTTCTGAGTATGTACAATATATAAGAGACTTTTGGCTGGAATATTTTTTCAGATAAAAATGTGTAAAAAAAAATACTTATTGGAAGAAATTAGACTCTCTGTTGGACTCGATGGCCATTAAGCAAAAAAAAAAAAAAATTATTTTTTCCCATTTTTTTGCAGACATTTTATGACTTTAACATCTCGAATTTATTCCAACATACTTTGTCAAGACATTTCAGCTCCTCGATTGGATACACAACTTTATTGCAGCGAGCACAATTTTTACTCATTTTGATTGGATTTTTTTTTTTATAAATCTGCGCTTTTAAAGAATTTAACTTTTTTTTGTGTATTTCACAATTTTTATTTTGTAGATTTTAACTAGTTTGATTCACTTTTGCACCAAATTTATTTATCAACGCCCGAGTATTGTCTTAATGTCGTCTAATTGCGAATATTTTATACACTTTGTGATACTTTTAAGCCGGAAAATAATGAAAAAAACCGAAAAACATGAAAATCGTGCGTCCGATTATGTTGAATGTCTAAATACAATTGAATAAGTTTATATGCTGTATTATAAATGCTCAAGCCCCTCGGTTTATATGTTGCTCAGTTTCTTTTTTATACTTCAGCACGCGCTGCAGATCTGAAACTTTAATTTGCAAAAAAAAAAATCTATGTTTTTAAGCTTTAAAAATCTTTCTTAGCAATTTATTTCATTAGCACAAAAAAAAGTATTTAAAAGATAGTCAAATACGATTAAAATTAATCAACACATGAGTTTCAAGAGATATAAAATGTGTGTGTGTGTAGTACAAATGAATTTTAGTGGATGCAATGTCTTTTTCACTTTTTCGTCCTTTTATCGGACAAATTACTTAAAAAATTACTAATTAATCAAATAAAGTAAGCAGCAATAATTTAATTTTTAATCTAAGTCTCTTAATTCTTTACTCCATACTCCTGCGACCATCTCTCAAATTCCTTCAAGCTTGCTGGACTGACTGACTTTCGGATCCTTTTTAATGAATTATGGAAATCTGACATTGTGATGCTTCGGACTTTTGATAAATCCATCTCTTTTACTTGCTCTAAATCGAGCCCTCTAATCGGTTCCAATGCTGCATCTTTAATTAGATATAATTATTTTCAGAATTGTTTAACAACAAAAATTATTTTTGTGTTGCTAAGCAACATATTTTGTGTCACTTTGTACATGCCTCAAACAAATTTTTGATCGCTGTGCAACAAGAATGTTGAAATTTTTGAAGGTTGTGTGACATAATTGGGTCAAAAATGTATGTCAAAATGTTTCGCAACATTGATGCATCACATAAGACAAAATTTTCTTTGTTTTTATATAATTTTGACAGTTATGCGACATTTTTTTAAATAAAACTTTTATGTCACACTGTTTCGCAACAAATAAAACACAATTTTGACAGTTATGTGACATTTTATAGTCAAAAAAATCTGTGTCACATGGTTGCGATACATTTGAGCAACACGTGAAACACAACACTTCTTTTAATGAAGCTTAAAAATATTTGAAAGCAGTCAATATGTGTCACATAGTCAAAGAAAGTGAAATTCAGCATAATGGAACCACCAAAGATAGAAAACAATATTTATGTGGTTCGAAAATTGGCAAAAAAACTGGTTCATTAAAAAAATACGTGAGTCTCACATTAATACCACTTAAGTGCTACAAAACTTCACAACACATACTTCAAAACATCAAGTGACACTTGTTTCGAGCACATTTAATGCTCTCAAACATAAAATTTAACAAGCACTTACCTCTGGCTAAAGCAGTCAAATCAGATCCCGAATATCCTTCAGTGGCGCGTGCAAGTATCTTCAATTCATCTTCTTTAAGCGGACTATTTTGCTTTTGCAAAAGACTAGAAAGCAATACAAGTCGTGTGTCAAAATCAGGAAGCGTGACATAAACTCTCTTTGGAAAACGACGAAGCGCAGCTTCATCTAAATCTGTTGGTCTATTTGTAGCAGCCATAACGACAATTTTCTCACTCTCCGTGCTATTAGTCGGAAGTCCATCGAATTGTATGAGAAATTCCGTCTTTAATCGTCTCGATGCCTCATGTTCACTTTGACTACGCTCAGATAATAATGAATCAATCTCATCGATAAAAATAATTGATGGCTGAAGTTCACGCGCAACGCTAAATAATGCTCGAACCATTTTTTCACCATCGCCCACGTATTTTGAAGTCAATGATGCAGCTGAGATACTAAAGAAAGTTGCGGCACATTCATTTGCAACTGCTCTTGCCAGCAATGTTTTACCGTTACCTAAAAAATAATGAATGAACAATGCACAGTCGTGTATAAGAATTTAAAATCCATGTTCAGTCAAGAGATAAGTTAATTAAGGTAATAAAAATGCAAACAGCATACCTGGTGGTCCAAATAGTAAAAGTCCTTTAGCTGGTGTTCGCAATCCAGTAAACAATTCAGGTCGTACAGCTGGTAGTATCACCATTTCTTTTAACGCTTGCTTTGCTGCCTCATTTCCAGCAATATCATTAAACTCAACCTTCTGTCCACCCTCAATTATCTCATCCATAATGGTTTGTACTAGTTTTTGTTCCACACCTTTAACAGAAATTATATTTTGTGTTGGCTGTTGTCCTTGTGGTGTACGAGACCTTAAGGGCGGAGTTGCACGTCCAGAGAAATTTGTTTTTCTAGGCGATGATGAGCCTGAGGCTGAAAATTGTCGTCGTACTGCTGGTGGTGTCGCCGGCTTCTTTGGAATTGTCGTATTATTAACATGAGTAAGTGCTCTAGACATGTTGCGTGGCAATGTTTGCGATTTATTCATGATGGTTAGATTAGCTGGTCTACGACTTGACAGTTTACCCGTAGCTGTGTAATATGAATTTAATTAATACAACAAACAAATTAAGAGAATCATGTTAATCACATTAAAAATTAACCAAAAGTGAAATGATATAGATACGAGATTATCAAGTCAAAAAGGAAGTATGTTTAAAAGTTGTTAAATGGTAATGAAAAAAAAAAATAAATAACAAAAAATAAGAAAGAGAGCGACGAATTTGCAGAAATGGGACCAACCAATGTTAAATTTTTCATTCATTTTTCAACTCGATGCGTATGGGATTTGTGAATTAATTTACAAGCACTCCAATATGATCTTTTAATATGATAATTATTATTATTACTGATGGGTGATTCCATGGATCAACTTTTCAGAAAATTTCGATTTTTATGTGGATAAACATGCTAGCATGCTTGAATTGCCTTCATTCTCAAGTAAGAAAAAAATAACGAACATAAAAAATTTGAAAAATATCCGTTAAAAGAACCTCAATCTAAAAATCGCTAAAATGCAGCTACCCTAAAATGCAGATAGTACTGCCAAGATGCAGATGGTACTGCTAAAGTGCAGATGAAATTTATTTTCCCTAAAATGCAGATGAAATGCTGTTGCTTTAAAAAAGGTATAATGCAGATAATTTTTATCGTATAAAGTGCAGATAAGATGCTGCCTAAATGTAGATCGTATAGTTTTAATAAAATAAATATGAAATGCTGTTACAATGCTGATAATTTAAGTTGGATATTATTTCTTTTGACATAGAACTCATTTTCTAAAGTTAAGGAGTTATGTCGGAAAATCACATTAATTAAGCGTCACTTACGAATAATTTTTATAAATTTTGTTATTACTTTGTCAGCTTTCATTGACATATCCAAGCCAGGGGCGTAGCCAGAAAATTTTTAAGGGGGTCCCATTTTCGAAAATTAAAAAACCGTTATTTTGTATCCTTAAATATTTATTCATCCTTCATAAGTTTAAATATTTAATTCATTATGGCCCCCCCCCCCTCCCTGGCTACGCCCTTGATCCAAGGCCATAGAACTCCCTGCACTATGTCTGCAATCACTACGTTTTTACTCAACTTTACAAATTTTTACTTATGTTTCAGTTCACTTAATATACAATGTATCACAATCACTGCAATTCCTAAACTTTACTGCACTTAACTCCTCTTTTACTCCTCTTTACTATACCTAAGTACAGTAACCTATACTTTACTACACTTTTCTTTACTATACTATACTTTAGTATACTTTACCACACTAAGCTTAAATTTACCACACTTTACTACACTTTAGTGCACTTTAATCCTGTGCATAATTTCAATCTAAATAGTTAAAGGTTTCTTACCTGTCTCTATTAATACGTTATACTCATACTTTCAAAAAAAAAAATAAAAGATTGTGCAAACATTTTAAAAATTTAAAAGAAAATGTTTAAAAACTTAACTAAAGGTTATAGAATTTAAAATATTATTTTTTATTTGTTTATTATTCTATCATTTTAAACCAAATTTGGCTGATGGAAAAGAAAGAACTTACAAAAACAAAAAGCACTAATGCTGCTAAGGCAGAAATAATTTTATTCATGTCAAAGAAATTTTTAATTAATACCTTAAGTTTGTAAGGAAATTTGTCAAAAAAAAAAAATAAAATTATAGAATAGAAAAATTGAAAAATTAATTTATTTAAAATGTCAGAAGAAATGTTTTTTAATAATTATTGAAAAATTATGAAAAATTTTGCTTTAGCTTTAAGAATTTCTTCTCGAATTGACTCGAATTTGATTTTTTAACGCAACCTTACATTAAAAAACTAATAAGGACAATTTGTATTAAGTTTAAATTTTTAAAAAAGCTATAAAAACAAGCTTGATATAAATTAGTTTCAATTTATTGGCATTTCAAAATTGAATGAAGGGACTGTAGAAAAAGAATATTTTAAATTTAATTTACAATATGCTAGTTTTTTATTTTAACAAGATTAACTTTCCAACAAACTTTTAAAAAATAAATATCAAAAACATTGATTCTCATACTCATAGAAAAAATATAACAATTTGTATGGTTTTGGAAAAAACCAAATATCGAATATTTGAAATTTCATACAAATCGGAACAATCAAATATTTGAATATTTGATATTCCTCAAAAGCATACAATTATTTTTATGAGTGCACTTTTCTTTCGTTACTGTTCTTCGAAATTTGGAAGACATCCTTAATGTTGAAAAATCTGAATTTAGTTTAACAGTGTTATTTTTTTATATGAGAAAAGATTCATTTTATCTTTGTTAAGACTTAAAAGAATTGTAATGCATGAAATTTCAAATAATAAGCGGTTCTTAAGTTGCGATAATATTGACTATTTATAAATAAGGGGCCGTTCACTTATTACGTTACGCAAAAAAACGACTTTTTTCACCCCCCCCCCCCTCCCCCCCCCTTGTTACAATATGTTACAACTCACAACCCCCCCCCCCCCCCTGAACGTTTATAATTTATTTTATTTTGATAAAAAGGTGGAAATTTTTAAAAAATGTTTTTGGTGTGAATTTGTAAACAAACTTTTTTCGTGAACTTTTTTTTGAAAGACAGACTACAGTTAGAACGTTACATATTTCTTGACCCCCTCCCCCCCCCCCCTTATGTTACATTTTGTTACAATTTTTCAAACCCCCCCTCCCCCCTAAAATGCGAACGTAATAAGTGAACGGCCCCTAAAATTGTATGGTAAAATATGCATTATTTCAAAATTAATGCACATCAACTTTAAACATTTTGGTTTTTAAAGATTTAAACAGTTTTAGGATGCTGCACTTTCTATACTTTTACTACACTTCATTCTACTATACTTTGGTTTACTTTGCTTCACTTTACAATATTTAACTACACTTTGCTCATATTAACTTAATTTTACTCAATAATTTGTATACGTTACTGCACAATGCTCACTCTCGGCTATACTATTTTGGGAGTTCTATGGCCTTGGATATATCTGCAAATGTATTTTTTATATTCACACCATTTTCACGTGTAAATCTATTGGTTTTGTTCAGATTGAAAAATCAGTTTTTCGCATTTTGTGAAGATATGGAGCAAGATAGCTTAACATGTTCGAACATAAAAAGTTTATTCCTGAAATTTTACATCTTTTGCAAAAATCAGATTTCAAATTGATTGAGGCATTGCTGAGAAAATCGCAAAATACGCTTTCTGTAAGCAAACAAGCAAGCAAGCAAGAAATCTCAATAACGAGACCTCGTAGAGACTTCTAGTTTTATACATTTGATCCGTGCTGCTCTATAGAAGAGCTGTATTGTTTTTGGGCAAGGTAGGAACAACCGTTGCTTCAGAAAAAGCAAAAAACTTTCCTTTCTTACGAATTTTTCAAAACAAAAGTTCACTGTGATTTTTATAAAATTCAACTTTGGATGAAAATTTTTTTTTAAAAACTTTTAAAGAATGTTCGTTAAGTTTAAAACCTTCACACATATGCTGAGAGAAGCTCAATTGAGCTGCGCTTTGAAGGTATATGTTTGAATATATAAAGCTGGTTCGTCAAGATTAATACCTTCAAACTTATGCTGAACAAATCTCTGTCTATCCATAAGACTTTTGATGGTACGGTGCGAATATTTCCGCATTGGGTTTCTACCCGATACACTAGTTTTGTTGTTAAACGACATGTAACATTTTTGCAAGATACATAAAACATAATTACCCTTAAATTTCATTATGAATCATTTAAAGTCATTAACACGCATCAAGAAAAAAAGTCATCGAATATTGATGTATTTTAATGAAATTATACGATCTACATTTAGGAAACATCTTATCTGCACTTTACACGATAAAAATTATCTGCGTTATACCTTTTTTAAAGCAACAGCATTTCATCTGCATTTTAGGGAAAATAAATTTCATCTGCATCTTGGCAGTACTGTCTGCATTTTAGGGTAGCTGCATTGTAGGGATTTTTAGATTGAGGTTTTAAAAGAGATTTGAAAATTATGAGTTCAAAAAATAATTTGAAAAATTAACTGTCAAAAAAGCAGAAATTCGCTGAAAAGCTTAATCTGTGGAATCACTGCCGATTATTATGACTATTATTACATCTGTTTAGTTATAGTTGAGTTCTCTTACCTTCAGAAGAAGACGTAGTTTTTGAAGTGGAATGATTGCTGTTTTTAGTATTATTAAATGTCACAACCTTTTCTCCTTTATCACTGCATGCATACTCATTGACCAAATAAGGCTTTTGCAATGAGCTTTTACGATTCGTTAAACGATTCATTTTGTCTGTGACTGATTGTACATTTGCTGCTACTTTACGACGTTCCTGATTCAACAGTTTTGTACGCTCAGACATCATTAATTCTGTATGTATGTGTGTGTGTGCATTATTATTGATATTAATAAGGAAATCAGATTCATATACATATATGATACATATGAGTTATAAAGTAAGGTAGTTTCAACGTTGGTTGGTTTGGTACGAAAATAAAAAAAAAAAATAAAATAAAGAGTATAACTTGATTAAAAATGATAAGGAAATGAATGTTCACACATAGATGCAATTAAAAATTGGAAGTGGAAATCAGTGGAAATCTAATTGTTTTATCTATCTAGCATGGAATAGCTAATTGATCGTAAATTACTTACCTAAGAAGTTTAATCTATCTTTAGCCATCGCTAGGTTTGTTTGCATTTTATCATGTAGCCTTTGCGCTTTTATCCATTTCTCGCCCGTGCCTTGCCACACGTCTATGTTGATTCCACGAGAAAGTTCGTTGATTCCTTCTTGGTAAAGGTTGATGGCAATTTCCTTTTGCTCTGTTTTTTGCGAGAATCATAAGCGAATATTTCCGTTTTTAATGATTTCATGTTTGTTTGCAGGATATAACATAAATTTGTTTGTGTGTCTATGTGTAACATAGCATGCAACGTTATGAATATTATGAGTCTTTCTTTAAGAGTGGACTGTCAATGACGCATTTATTGATAATTTTAAATTTTAACAAATAACGGTTGGAAAATATTTGAAAAAAACGAACAATTTTTGAAAAATTAATGACTGTTATTTTAACGAAAAGACTTGAGGTGCTCAAAATTAACACTTTTGGAGGATCTATCCATTATGCAAAACAGTGCTTAAACTGAAGAATCTTAATAGCAGACACATAAAGTGTCGACAAGTGCCACACATATCCTTTAAGAAATACACTTAAAAAAAGAGAAATGGATTTTTTCTTCTTTCTTTCCTTGTTCTTGTTTGGGGAGTTCCTTTCTTTTTGTTTCAAGTCATGACTGACTAGGGAGGGTAGGAGGTGGAAAGAGTAGCCATCTTATAGAATAAAAAATATTCTAAGTCACTTTTGTGTGACTTGTACTCATGTTTCATGACGTCTCATGAACACAGCTTGTAAGAAGTCATTGAAGACTGTTTTTTTTTGCGCGGAACGAAAGGAAAGGTTGAATTGAAAAAAGTACAATAGAAGAGGAAGAAGAAAAGTTTTGTTAATTTAATAAAAAGGAATAAACATTTTTAATGAAATGATGATAGATTATGGAAAGCTTTCTGTTGTGCATATACATTTGATAGTTTGCCAAAACATTTAGCTACGACCCATCCAAAAATGATGTTCAAAAATAATAAAATCAACGTAAGGTCAATAAAATATTAGAATTGTACTAGACATGTGCAAAGAAGATTTATAAAGTTCCAATGACATCATCGTTAAAATGTCTCTCGTAAAACTTGATGTGGATTGTTTTGTGTAGATTTTGATGACAATATAATGAAATTCAAATATCTCGAGACAAATGATTTTGTTTAGCTTATAATCACACACAATAAAACTTAATCTATGGATTTATTTTAAACTGCCCTTTTTTAATCTAGCTTTTTCGAAAGATTTTGTGGAATTACTAATTAATGACATTCGGGTAGCTTACCTGAATTCTGAGTTTCGTCAATTTTCAAAGCTTGCGAAATGTACTCAAAGGCTCTTTTATGGTGATATTTCTGTCTTTGTAGCATATCCATTGAAGTGTCAATATCTTCTGACCCGTTCACAGTTTCCAAGTTAACTTCTTCAGTTTGATTCGACGGCTTATTGAGTATTCTTGATGAGGTATTATAAACGAATTTTAAAATAATAAAAAGTTCAAATAATAAAGTCTTTAAAACATTAAACACAAGAATAATTGGAAAGGATAATAACAAGAAAGTTTTTCGCTCTTTATCTGAATCATTTCCACTGTTTTTTGATGGGCAAGCATCTGTTTGATTCTTTGTCTTGCGGACCATCACTTAATTAAGTTAAATCTATCACTCTTTGCATTTATATCCACATTTTTCTTGCTTTACTTCTTTTTTCCATCTAATACCTTTTTATCCACTAAAAAGCTTTGTTATTTTCAGCGCGCAGCAATTTATAATCATACGCTGATCAGTCACTATGTCTAGATGCATATTTGCGTCATTTATTAAATTAATATAAATTTTTTTAACGTTTCATTTTTGAAATGCTTCAAAACCGTATAAATGCCGATTAAAACTATACAAAAGTTTGATTAATTGTATGGTTTTAGACAGAACAATTGAAGCGATTTATAGATGAAATTGAACATCTTTCAAATTTAAAATATAAAACACCGTTTATGCAGATATTTTTGAAAGCTTAATGCAATTAATTTCAAAAACATGGATTATGCGTCTTTTACACAGTAAAGATTGCTTTATACGAATATTTTCACTATGAGCAACATTGAGCAACACAGAGAATTTAAATTTCTAACCGTTGACAGAATAATGTGACTAGTTTTTATAATTCTTCAATAAAATAATTTTTCTAATTATAATGTTTGAATAGTCATATGGAATCTGAATGAACTTAATCCTATCGTTGTTATTCATGTAATTCTTTTGTTAATCAGTTGCAATTTTGCTTATGTTTTTATAATGCATACTTTTAAGTGATTTACAAATAAACATTTCAGGTATGAAACGCGAATGAAGCATAGACATTAAAACATGTTCAAGATTTTTCATTTTAGTAAATATCTCAGCAAAGTTGTTTTTTACTTTTGTTCTTATCCAACATTCCAAAATTAGATTCTTCACAGTTGAAGTTTGTGGAAATTTCAAGTTTTTGCTGCGTGGACTACGAAGATAATCTATTTTAAATGAATGCAGATTTGGAAGTTCAGATAAGATAAATGGAAAATCGTCAAAAATAAATCTATGAACTCTAAGATACATCAATATTGAGTGATGATGTATCAGAGAGAGTCAGACTAACCATTGAAGGCTCGTTATGACATTCAATGTCGATTCTCAAGTTTGAATTTGCAATCAGCAACTGAAAAATTGCTTAAAATCCTACTTTGATTCACTTATTAAGGGGGGGGGGGGGGGTGGGTCAGCAAGAAAAATGCAATAGAAATTCCAGGAAATCCAATGTTCTTTTTTAAAAAATGACCGTTAATTTCGGACGTCATAAGTGAACAACCCCTGAAGAATAGTTTTAATTGTTGTTGTTTCAACTCCAGATTCCATCGATTTTCGATCCATTCAATTAAATCCAATGGTCAAGTTTTGATATTTACGATCACTGTTTAGCAATGGACCAAGATCTCTATCATAATTGAGGTAGCAGTAGATTACATTAACATGTTTCATACATTCTTTCGATTGACCAAACATTTTTTTGTGAATTTTTGGTACCCTGTTTTTTCGTTATAAGCTAGTAGCTTAGAAGAATAAAAAAGTGATTTTTCTGACTCACTAGGAGCTTAGTAACGACTAGTAGCTTATAACGAAAAAACAGGGTATGTATTTTTAACGGACAATTTAAAAATTATGAAACAATTTAAACTTGAAAAAGTCGTTATTCTATCAGGTTTTAAAAAATCAAAATTTATATTTTTTAAAATCATTTTATTGTCTTTGAAAAGTGAAACTTTGCAAATGTTTCTGCTATTAAAAGTGGAAGAATGATTGATGCTTCCCCAAATATTTTCACGGGATGTGCATCCGGTTTGATTTTTCCAGCAGCAATACTCTCATCTGGATTAGCTCCACTGTCTGAGCCATCATATTCTACAGCTGTATTTAAAAACACTGTATAATCAGCACCATCTCGGATACAATTAGCCTTCATTAAATGATGTTTCGAGACACCAGCACCAATTGATAAAACTCCTGATTTTATTGCTTTCATTGCCATTTTATTAATTCTCTGAAGATCATTTAATATATCTAGGATTAAGCCAGGATTTCTAAATGAATGGAAATACATCATATCACCTAAAGATCCATCAGTTAATGCTGGACAGAATATTGGAATCTTATTCTTAGCTGCCCAATAGCAAATAGATTCTTCATTATCAATCCTCTCGCCTAGTCTTTGAATTACTTTAGATGGTGTCCAAATAGTTCCATTATCTTTCTGTTCCTTAAGCATTTCATCCAGTAATGGCATAATCCAGTTCTCAAATAAACAGTAGTTGTCATTTGGAACTAGCAAGTTCCCAATTCTATTTATTCCTTTGTCTCTTAACTGCTTGCCGTCTAGCTCAAAAGATCCAATATAAGTTGGTGCCATACATTTTATAAAATCCTCTTCAATTGCACCGGCAGTACAAACAATGCAATCAACAAGTTTATTCTGTACAAGGAACCTAATATTCTCTCTTAATCCACTAGAAACTATGTTTGAGGTATATCCAATAAATATTGTGCATTTATGCTTCCTTTTTATGAACTCATCATCTTCATAAACATCCAGCTCATCCTCGTCTAGAGCTTCATATCGATCAGCCAGCATTTCGTTGATTTCATAGACTGCTTTTGAGAAATTTGAAGCTTGAAATCCCATTTTGTCAAAATTACTCAATATTTCACTGTAATTGATTCCTTGATTAAAGTCATATCCTTTGACTGTCTCTAATGTTTCCCCTAAGTCACTTATAGTCTTTTGAAGGACTGAATTCTTAGCTAAATCAGGCTCTTGCATGTTAATTTATTAATTTATTATTTTTTTATTTTTAAAATTGGATAATGTAAACAAACCTTAGTAACGGTTTTGAAAACTTTGAATTTTTGAAAACATTACAGATGTTTGCAAGAACTTTCAAATGTTTTTTATAATGAATCTCAACGGTCTTTTAAATCAAAAACAGCAGCATAATCTTTAGAAACATTTTTGTTAAATATTTTAACGAGGAAGTATATTTTATATCTGTTTTATACATAATATAGTTGCTTAAGTGAGTGTGCACTAGTGAGGTATGAAAGATGAGTAATTTAAATACACCAAAGCAACAAAATCGTCGTAAAACAATAATGTCTCTTGAAACACCAACTTTTGTAAGAAGTACAAGAAGATCTACTTTAATTCAACGAACCGAGCAACCAAAAACACCTCTGGTGTTGAGTCAAGAGCCTAATTTATCAACGCGTAAGTTAAAACAATTATTTAATGTGCTTTTAAAAAATAATAAAATTTAATTAAACAAATTTTCAGCACCTCCGATTCCTAAATATGCAGAGCAATCATTAGAAACACCAAAAAGTAGATTATTGGATCCAGTTTATGAAAGGATCAATCGTGATTTAAATAGTCCTTCGGCTGCAGCACGTATTCGTGCACAACGCGCATTGAAGTCTCCAGGCTTTCGAAAAGCTAATTATCAGATTTTTGATGTTCCTCATGAAGAACAGGACATAATAACAGAAGAAGAACGACAGCCTTATCGCCCAAAAACTATGAAAGAAACTTTTGCAAATTGTCACATTTATGTAGAAGTTCGTACTGGCGATGACAATAGAAGTGCTGGAATAAAGAGCATTTTATTAGGAGAAGGGATTAAAGTCAATGATAAATTGTACAGAAATACAACTCACGTAATCTTTAAGGACGGGTTACTTTCAACTTATAAGCAAGCACAAAAAATGGGAATTCCAGTCACTAATATTCTGTGGATTGATGCGTGCCGCAAGCAACATCGTTTAGTTGATCCATCACAATTTCCAATATCTAATAAGGAACGTTATGATAATCCAGAGATATACGGACGTGTTCGTCGACAAAAGTCAATGCAGCCTGAAATAAGTAAAGTTGTAACTTTGCCGAGCAGCAAAGCTAAAAAGTTTACTGAAATTAATTCCAAAGAAGACGATGACGATGATGTGACTATCACAAATTATTCAGATATGTGTGAAGAGACTGTTAAAGACTGTACTGAAATGGAAATGACTCGAATCAATAAGACATTGACAAATGACTCGATTGAAATAGTCACACAAATTGAAAAGACTGCCGAAAAATCCGCAACTAGTCGTCGCTTAACGACTTTTACACCACGTCCAATGGAACAAACAAATCTGGAATCTCAGGCATGGAAGTCTGTTGATCGTCGTCGTACAATAATGCCATCACAATTTGGTGATGATCTTACACCTAAAACTAATGCAAATTCTCAATCTAGCAAGACTTTAGTTTTTAATTCTGCAAATCGTATAGGAAGTGCATCACGTCGTAGTGTTCTGGACATATCGATGAACATTTTTGAACTTAATTGCAAGGCAATGACTGAAAATAAGAAAAGTAAAGTCGATAAAGTAACGGAAGAAACTGAAAATCAATTAGACTCTTCTCAAAACATCACAATAACGCAAACTGTTAAGCCTGCAATTGTCCGTAAACGTAAATTATTCTCAACTGATCATGATGATTCGATTGAGTATAAAGAGAACTGCAATACACCAGAAAATGATGTCAGCATCAAGAAGAAATTAAAACGTGATATTTCAGCATCAACAAAGACGGTTAAAACTGATAAGAAGTCAAAAATATCTGGAGCATTGGATCGTCGCAAGACAATTTCATTTTTCAAGGCTCGAGACAAAATTGATGAATCAAATTCTAGCGTTAAAGTCACTCCAACAAAACCTTCTCCTAAATATATTGTTTGTACTAATATGTCTACTGCTGATAGGGAAATAGCTCATGCTGTGAGTAATGACTTTTAAGTTCCTTTATTTTGCTTCCTTTTCCTGGATTGTGCAATATATTTGATTTTTATAATTTGTAATCCCTTCCTTTACTTCCTTTTTGAGTCAAAGACTCATATTGTTATTTTGTAAACCTGTTCCTTACTGATTGAGAATAATAAATCATGGTGAATCGCTTTTATTTAAAAAATATTTGAAAATTAACGATCAAAAAAGATTTGAAAAATAACAGTAAAACAGTTTTTGAAAAATATGAAAAAAATAGTTCAAAAAAGTTCAAAAATTATTTGAAAAATGTTCGTTAAATTTTTGAAGAATAACGGTTAAAATTTTAGTCTAGAGCAAATTTAATTGATTTAATGCTCTAGGAAAAAGCGCAAACATTCTTTAAAACAATTTATGACAAAAAGTAAACAATTTTCTTTGAAAATAATTTAAAATAGGCGATAACAAAACTCGGTGGGATACTCGAGAAAGAGGTCACTGAAAAAACGACTCACGTCATCACTCCAAATACTGAAAGAACAATGAACTTACTCAGAGGTATCATCAGAGCTTGCTACATCTTAAAATACGACTGGATCACAGAATCTGTAAAGGCTGGAATGTTTCTTGACACGACTATGTATCAGCATGAGATTTGTAATAATCAGAAGGTATGAGTGACATTGCTTGAATTTTAATCATGTAACTTAATCATGCTTTCCCATCATTTAGATCTGTGAACGCTCAATTCTTGGCAAGAACTTTAAGAACCTTTCATTCTCACATTACGGACCATTTTACATCAACAGAGATACGATTGATAATTTGAAAAAGTACGAATATGTTCGAGAGATCATTAAACTGTGTAACGGGAACATGACGACCAACATTAATGATGCAAGAATGATAGTCAGTGATCGTCCTTTGATTCTACCACTTAGTCATAAGAAGCCAACTGTTGTCATATCCACATACATTTTCGATGCAGCAATGCAAGGAAAATTGATTCCAAATGCAAAGTACATACCAAAAGTAGCGTGAATTACAGTTAATAAGTGTGCATTATATTTTTTTTTTTTGATTCTATTATTATTTTTTTATTATTGAATAAAGTTTAGCATGTGCTTAAAAGTTAAAATTAATTGCTTGTGAATGTCTTTATGCAGTTCTCAAATCTCGTCTGATATTTATATTCTAACTCTCCTCGACATCCATATCCTCCAAATTTGTGGACTCGAGCATAATCGTAACAATCAATTCGTCCATCTCCATTACAATCTTGTCCAAAGCGTCTCATGTAGCCTTGAATTGCACGGGCTGCACAGAATGGCTCATTTACGCAGTTCGAATATGCTTAAAAATAAACAGAAAACATATTAAAGGCATGATCTCATCCGCTCTCGGTTCCCACAAAACTGTAAATTTTTATCGTTGCATCTTCCCGGATTTTTTTTATTCAGGTTGTCATCGTAATTATCATTAAAATATTAAAGTAATAAAATTTATTGAAAAATTACCATTTGGACTGTCCGCAGTTTCTCCTTGCTGTGTTGGCTTTCCACTGTCACTCCAGTAAGCCCATGTTATTCTAAATAGTCCACAAACATCACCAGAACATTTTAAACTTCTATCACATTCGGAAGCAGCTTCACAAATGCATCCTAAGCAGACATCCGTAACAGGTAGTAAAGTTGTGTCATTTTGCACTGTAAATAAGCAATAAGAGAATCCCACACGATTATTGTCTAGCTTTTTTTATTTTGTTTTATATAAAGTCATTGTCAATTGTACATAAAAGGGAAACTCATTTACATTGGCATTTAAATTCTATGAAATTCACAGCGATGTGAGTAATGCACAGCACATTACTTGTTTAATATTAATAATGAAGATAAATCATTGAATTGCGTGAGTTTCTCACTGCATTTTGTTATTGAATTGACAGCTTTTAATGAGTTAAATTAAGTTGATTCAGGGATGGAAGGTTAGTTTTAGGATGTTATTGATGTAGATGCTGTTCATAAATGACTGAACATCGTCAAAGATAAATTGAGAAATTAAATTTGTTGCAAACATTTTATTGGATTTTAACGGATTGAATTTGAATTTTTCAACATTCAGAACCAATAAATTCTCATTTAAACCATACAATTCCATTAAATATTCACAAAAACTACAATTGCTTTATTAATCACTATTTTAAACTTAAAACCCCTCAAATTCTAGCGCAGAACCTTACAAATCCAAAATTGTTTTCAAAATAATCAATTTTAACGGCTTTAGTTTAAAAATTCATTTTAAAACCTTTCAATTCCAAATAATTCTCAACCCAAAACCGTTCAATTCCAATAAAAATGACTTTGTAAGGTTTTCAAACACAAACTCTTCCATAAAACCCATTCAACTCTAAATTCTTAAAATTCAATGTCATTTGACCATGAACCAATTGAAAGAACATTCCAATGATTATTTGAAGACAAACAACCATTTACTGCAAGTGATATTACTTACTTTAATGTCAGATTAAGCTGACATTTTACGTAAATAAAAATAAATGTAACCCTGCGTGCATTAAGCACATCAGACACAATAAAAGTACTTTTTTATGACTTGTTCTTTCATAAAAATACCGGAACTTTTTTTTTACACATAGCACTATAGACATAATGCCTGAAGATTAATGAACATCAAAACAAGAAGATTTAAATGCGTGCTTCGGCGACAAATAATTGAATTCTAGCAGAGCTTAGTCACCAACTTGTTTTTGCTATTTAACAAATAAATCTTATATTTGCTTTTCTTTAAAGTCTTGGACTTATTAATAGCTTATAGAATCTTGCTATCGAATTTTTTGTTTTTGTGAATTCTTAATTGGATTTGATTTTTTTGCTGCTGAATTTGGCATAATTGGAGCAAAAAGTTGTAACTGGGAAGTGATTGTGGAATTCTTTTAGGGGTTCAATTATAAATGAGGTAAAAGACTTAAGGATGATAAGGTTTGTCAGGGTCAGAGGCTGTATGGAAGTTCCACATAAATCAAATTTGAACCAAACTTTTTGGAATTTCCAATTTTTCAGTCACTTCCTTAAAAAGTAGCAAACTTATCAAAATTGTTCTCAAAATATTTCAATAAGGTTTTAAGGTCAATAATTATCAATAAACTCACCAACATGCGATACATCTGCAGAGGCAAATGACAATAATCCAATAACAACTATTACACTAACTTTAATTAAATTCATGTCTTTTATTTTCTTCTTCTAATTTTATAATCCACAATAATTGATATGATTACACTTGAAATTAATTATGAGTGATGCACTTTCTCACTTCAAATACTCACGCGCAACTGAATTGACTCAAAAACTTGGCATTGCTTTTATAAAGATTATTCTCTTGCTCCGTAGTTCTCTCAAAGAAATTTTCATGTGTACAGCGCAGAGTGAATGTGGATTTAAGCTCCGGGAGAATGATGATGATATCATAAGAAATTATGAGTGGAATTCTCGCGAGTTGTGGACCTTTTTTTTTGTAAATAAGGAAATGCCTTATTTTTTGGTCAATTTATGGATGAAAGTCACGATACAGTTCAATAAAAAAAAGTTTATTCTCATCCAAATAAATTAAGCATGTAAATGAGAAAGAGGGAGGAACCTTAAAAATATACAATTTCTGGTTTAAATCCAGTTTCTTATAGATCTGTTTCGAGAACTTCTTACTTTCATTCTACGTGACACATTCCATTTGTAATTTCAAGTTTTTCTCTATCCGTTCTAGTTGCTTTGTTGCCTGTCATGCTTTGTAGTATTTTGGAACAAGAATTGATTGAAGGGATTTGTTTGTTTATTTATAGAATTCTACATTTGTATTTTGGGATTGAATATGAAGTCTTTAAGTTGTTTGGGGTCAAATCTGGTCAAATCTTTTGACTGAAGTTGATTCTATGATTCATAAACTTGATACTGACTTGATGATATGATTGATAACAATTTTATGGATTCAGATGATGTTTTAAGTCAAATAGGAAGCTGATAAAAGGATATTATAACCAATTATAGATTCATTCTTGATTGTGTTTATAATTTTCACAAATCATGTAAATGATTGATCTAATCAATATTACAAGATCCAGGATACTCATAGAGATGCTTCATATTGTTTATTCCAGCAGATACAATTGAATTAAGAATGTTTTTCGTCACAATCAATCTATTTTAAAACCTAGCAATCATTGAATCAGAATCTTATTTTAATCAAAATTTGTGTCAACTTAAAATCATCCTAAAAATGTCAGGAAATAATCAAGGATCTGGAGACAACTCAGAAACAAACGATGATCAAAATTTTAGACAATTTATTACCCAAATTAATGCACACTCAACAGAATTCAATGAGTTCGACGAACCAGATGAATCAATTTTCGAGAGAATCTCAGCACTTAAAGAAATGTTTCCCGAGATCTTGGTTGATAATGTTGGATCAGTCATATCGACAGCATTTGATATCGTTTGTGAAGCTACATGGATCTTATTCTCATCTGGAATAATCTTGCTTGGACCAATTATCTTTGAGCATGAACGAATGAGGCTCACTGAAAGTCTTAATGATGATGATGAAGAACAGAAATCAGAGAAATAAAGAACGGATTTGAATAACGCCATTAAAAAGCATTTATTTTCTTGCTGCTGGATACTGGATGTACTAGAAATTTATAGAACATGCCGCTTTCATTTTTATGATTCATACTTGTTGCTTCCGTTATCACAACATTCAGGTTTATTAGATTTAAAATGGACTAGAATATTCCAGTATGCAGCAGAAAGGATCATTTTGGAATGACGTCTTACATCTTGAAGAACCCATCCGCTATGCTGTGCAACATTAGGAACTTATCAGGTAAATCACTTTTAAACTTACCCTAGCAGAAATTTACTAGTAATTTCCTAGTAATTTACTGGATAACTTTCCATTTGCTACTTGCTATTTATTAGTCAAAATCCAAGTTCAAATCATTGCCAAATACCCGCATTTTCACTTGCTAATTGACTAGTCAATTCGCTTACAATTTAACTAGTAATTTACTAGCAAATTTTTAAAAAATTTAAATGAATATAACCGTTGATTTCCACGTGTTCTTTTGATTTTTCTTATTCGTGTAAATTATTGTAAAAGTATTAGTGTGTACTTAATTATAGTACACTAACACTATGGAAAAAAATAAGACTTAATTTCATTAAGTCGAACACTGATGAACGCTTTTGACTCGCACGCAAACCTGAGGAAGATAAATAATTAATCGAAAGTCACATACGAATTTGGATCGAGCTTATAAAGGTGATTTTGGCGCGCTCTTGTGAAATATATGGCAAGTGCCAAATTTAGAACAAAATTTTTTATGACGCGAAAAATTCTTTTTTTGATGATTTTTCGTAAGATTCGAACTTAAGCAGACTTGATCAAACATCAATCTTATAATGGTGATTTCTGCGCGCTCTTGTGAAATATATGGCAAATGCAAAATTTAGAAAAAAAAATTTTATGACGCAAAAAATTCTTTTTTTGATGATTTTTTCGTAAGATTCGAACTTAAGCAGACTTGATCAAACATCAATCTTATAATGGTGATTTCTGCGCGCTCTTGTGAAATATATGGCAAATGCAAAATTTAGAAAAAAAAATTTTATGACGCAAAAAATTCTTTTTTTGATGATTTTTTCGTAAGATTCGAACTTAAGCAGACTTGATCAAACATCAATCTTATAATGGTGATTTCTGCGTGCTCTTGTGAAGTATATGGCAAATGCCAAATTCAGAAAAAAAAATTTTATGACGCAAACAATTCTTTTTTGAAGATTTTTCGTAAGATTCGAACTTAAGCAGACTTGATCAAACATCAGTCTTATAATGGTGATTTCTGCGCGCTCTTGTGAAGTATATGGCAAATGCCAAATTTAGAACAAAATTTTTTATGACGCAAACAATTCTTTTTTGATGATTTTTCGTAAGATTCGAACTTAAGCAGACTTGATCAAACATCAATCTTATAATGGTGATTTCTGCGCGCTCTTGTGAAATATATGGCAAATGCCAAATTCAGAAAAAAAATTTTTATGACGCAAACAATTCTTTTTTGAAGATTTTTCGTAAGATTCGAACTTAAGCAGACTTGATCAAACATCAATCTTATAATGGTGATTTCTGCGCGCTCGTGTGAAGTATATGGCAAATGCCAAATTTAAAACAAAAATTTTTATGACGCAAACAATTCTTTTTTGAAGATTTTTCGTAAGATTCGAACTTAAGCAGACTTGATCAAACATCAATCTTATAATGGTGATTTCTGCGCGCTCTTGTGAAGTATTTGGCAAATGCCAAATTTAGAACAAAATTTTTATGACGCAAAAAATTCTTTTTTTGATGATTTTTCGTAAAATTCGAACTTAACCAGATTTGATCAAACATTTCACATGGCAATTTGCTAGTAATTTGCTAGTAAATAGCAAGTGTAATTTATTAACAGTAAGTTGTTTTAATAATATGGAGTAAATTGCAAGTTGTAGAATAGAAAGATTAGCAATTTGCTAGTTATTCTCGCTAGGGTTATAGGAGAAGAAGTTCTGACATCATTTATCAATAAACCCCTTGGAACACTAAGCAACAAGTTCTTAAATAACCAATTCACACATGTTTCACAATATCTGCTAATTACAGTAAATAAAATTTTATTCAGGGATAATAATTTTAATAGTCACAAGAGATTCATAAGTTACAGCTTAGAATATTGAGATTACTAGTTTACATCTTCATATGCTTCGTGGAAACTGTCAGGTAACAAGACTGTATTGAGAATCGGTAGTTGTGCTAGGTCAGTGTCTGTATCATTCAAATGCACAATATTTTCAGTGTCTGTCAAGTTGTCTCGTGTAATGTGTACGAATGATGTGTCAGCTTGCGTGATATTGACAATAGTTCCACTGAAAGGTATTGCCTTAAGCACATCATTGATATCGCTAACAGCTCCAATGTGTACGGGTGCAATTCCTGAAATTAATATTCAACATGTTAGCACACATAGGAAGTCGATAATAAATATTCTTGTTATACCTGTAATAACTTGACCCTTGAGGCCTGTCGTCTTTACTGGAAATGGAATATCACCAAAGTTCACGTCAGTTCCATTGCTTTCAGTATTGTAGAAGGTCAAGTCTACTTGTTGACGTGTAACTGGTCCATTATCTGTTGTCGTATCATTGTCTGGAACGTCTGCTAATATTCCAATTTCATATGTTGTAGCCTTAATGACATATCTGTAAGTAAATGACATAAAAAATGAGTCGTTGCATTGGAATTTGCGATTGACAATCAAGTTTCATTCAAGGTCAGGAAATGTTAGGTTCATTCCACATACTATGTTAGTCGGAATCTCAAAGGTTAAGGTTAGGGAATCATCATGTTGTTAGTACAGGAAGAAATAAATCACTTAAGTACACTCAATTACTTACACTTCCTTTTTGGTTACGTTTCTTTCATGTAATGTTGAATTATCTCTGTTATTTGTGTGCATGTGTAGTCAGGAATGTTATGGGAAAAGAGAAGGATAAAGTATGTTAAGTGCTGTAGATTAATTTTAATTCACATGATCTAACTCAATATCAATCAGAATTCGGCAAATGTGTCCACATAAGAATTTTTTTAGGATTAGGGAATCTATAGATTCTCATCATGGATATGCCAATTATTCTGTTGAATTAGTCAGGAACTTACAATGTACTTGTAGTAAAATTTGTCGATGTACTATTTCCATCATCATAATAATCACTGGATGTTTTTTTAAGGATTGAAGGAAGAGAAGAACAGAAAATTGTCATGGATCAGATGTGAGGACATTTAAGGAATCTAAAGCTTTCAATTTTCGTTTAAAAATCAGAAAACTCTAGATATTTTCCGCATTATGTTAGTAATAAGCTCCTTTGGCTAAGGATTGATCTCATCATGTAAAGATAATTGTGGTTTTGTTAATAAGTTTAAGGCAGTTTAAGGAGTGGACAAGATTGATTGTGTATGTATGTAATATAGGAGCTAGGATTGTGATCTAAGGTTCTTAATAGTTTTGAGAGCTCCATTTCGCGTATTCAACACGGTCTGTCTGTATCTCAAGATTTAAACTCTGTCTTTATTTATTTATTTAAAAATGAGATTTTAATGATGATTAATCAGAACACGGAATCATTAGAAAGTAGATGAAAGATACGAGAAAAAATACATTATGATCTAAATCCGGATTTATAGTGAATAGAACGACGTAGAAGTCAATGTTTCTCATTAAAACGAACAATCTCGGGTAAAGAACCAAACACATTCCACGGATGTCCACTCCTTAAACATCATTTCTATCTACTTATTCTAGGGCAATATAAACTACAAACTTACTATTCAGTCTCTGTTACATTTGATATCATTTCTTCTTCAAAAACACTAATTTGCCAATTTTTCATGCATTAGCGAATTCCAAGATCCAATTTATCAAATAAAGGAAATGAAAAAGGTGAGAATAAAAACACTTTGATTATTTAATGTTCTGTTTTTTCTACTGAATTAAATTTTAGCAGACGATCTCTAAACATGCTTCATGGTCAAATGTGTTCTGTGAAATTCTTGTGTCTTTGATTTTGAGGTGATAATTATTAAGCATAAAAATTAAGCTTTTTTGGTACAAGAAATCAGACACAATCAAACTTATGAACAATCATTCCAGATTCTCATCTAGTCTCAGTCTTATGATTTGTTCGAATATCAATTGAAATTAAGGAATCGAGAAGCATATTCAGAAATTTTACAGGAAGTAGCAAGAGTCTACAAATTTGAAGACTTAACAGTAAACAATACAACAAGTAAGTGGATATAAACAATCTACACATTCTTTCTCTGCAATGTCGTGTTGCTAGACTTGAATGAACTTCTTTACATAAAAATAAACGAGACAATGCACAACAAAACACGAATATACGCAGCAAGACGTCACAACAACAATACTGGATAGAAATTATTGTGTTGAACTCACGTTTTTATTGATTTTTGTCAAGTATGTACGTGCAAGATTACTCGATTGGATATCCTGGATGGAATTATTTTTAGTCAGTAAACTTGTATTTAAGGAATTGTTGTGAACAAATTTGGTATTTCTTTGAATCAGAAGATGTTCTGGAGATCATACTCTACATGATATTTAAGTGTAGGATTGTTTGGCATCATTTTAAAGATGAAAGATGTGATTCATTGGTGTAAATATGAGTGATATAATCCAAGTGATTCTGGTGTTAATTTTCAGTTCATTCAAAGAAGTATAAATAGCTGAATATTAGTTTTAGAAATAAAAATAAAGTGAGATGTCAGTTTTCATTTTTGAAACGTAAGGCTTTAAATTATCACATCTTGACTCAAATGACAGCTTCAGACAAACAATGTAGTCCAAAAATATCTATTAATATCAAAGTAGCTGTTTCAGTGTCAGGTAATTCCATGAAATAACTGTTATATTAAGTGTCAATAACCAAGGAGCCAAAGGGAAGTTGAATAATCACAGATATTTCTGTATTTAGCTAAGGGGACGTTCACTTATGACGTTCGGGGGGGGGGGGGGGGGGGGGGTCAGCAAGAAAAGAACAATAGAAATTCCAGGAAAACCATTGTCCATTTTTGAAAAATGACCGTTAATTTCGGACGTCATAAGTGAACGACCCCTAAGGATTTTGAGAAAGAACTCAACCGTTCCTCTTTCCATACAAAATATATGACAAAATGGCTACCGAGTAGCACAAGTTTGATAATCGAGACGAAATCTTAGACCAGGACGATTTCATGGTGACTTCAAGGTAAAGTTTTACTGTGACGAAATTTGTCCACAAGTCGTCCCCGCGTTGTCTTAACGTAGGATTTTGTCTCGATTATCCCACTTAAGCTATTGGGGGTTTCTATCTAGCTACTCTTCTGGTTTAAGATATTCGGGATTATTCACATAAATGACATATTAAGCTCTATATTTCAAACAAGACCACAAAGGTTACTAAATGAAGACTGTTCCTTGCTCAATTAGCAAGCTGCACTAGAGGTAGTTCCATTTAAGGGAGGCATGGATCACAACTGTCACTTATTAAATTAAGAAAATAAACTCCTTTTTAAAATGAAATTGCGAATTTTGGCTGGAAACACTTGAAACTTTTTCTTGGTTCTTCTCAGCCTTAAATCGTTCATATCAACATCAATGATCCACATCTTTAAATTCAGCTATTCTATTCTATTGATTTACTCTACTAACTTACTATTCTTCAATTATCATCTCATCTGACAGATTTCCTTTATTTACAAGAGGACTGTTTTGGTAGACAGGAAAAAGTTTTGGAAATAAATTATTTTTTGAGATGCTCAAAATTCAATTTTGGTCGAGTAAGAAATTTTCGGTTCAATCAGCGTAACTTCGGAACTTGTGCAATTTCATCATTCATTCAAAAAAAGATTAAACGAAAATTTCATCACTGCTTTGTATAAATATATTCTACTTCTGATCATGTGAAGAGTGACTTACATCTCATATTTTTTTATTAGATCATCCAGTGTGATGTTGTTGGAATTAAATATACTAAATGGTAGGAATTTGATGAGGAGAGAATTGTTGTTAGTAAAATTTGATTATCAGATACCAAAGGTGATCCACAGAATTAAGTTTGGAGGGCACTAGGATAAATTTTAAGGTACATTCTCACTGTCTATACTTACAATTCCTTATGAGTATTATTTGTTGAATTATTTTCTGTCGATATATCCACAATTGATTCTGTGTTTTCTACAGGAAGTCCAAAAACTAAATTAACACTGTAAACTATTGCCAGAACTGCAATGAACATTTTTAATCCTTTCATTTTTTTATGCTTAATCTGAAATATAATTTTAATTTTAACTTTTTTGCGGACTTGGATGTCTCTAGAGCGATTGAAATTTAAGAAATGACTTGATGAGAATAAATTGTGTAGCTTATATACTAAAATTGTCAAACTGATTAGCACCCAATCGTTAATTGATTTACGCTGTATGTTTCCATGTATGATATCAGAAGCTCAACAACATCAATTTTCAATTAATTGCAGTTTACCTTTCTTATTCATCTATCGCTTATCAGTCAATCAGAAAAAGAAAATAAATTTAGCTGACAGATTTATTATGTACACTTGTCACTTAAATTTTGGGTTATTAAGGCAACCGTGAAGTGTTTCAAGTTTTATGACATAATTATTGATAAGAAAATTTTTCGGTGAATTTTCCACTTCTGAATTTTAATTGAAAAGGGTTTGAATATTAAAATTAATTATCTGGAAGGTTTGTAAATGATTCAACCTTTAGAGCAGCCCGAGTGACACAATATAGACAAAGACTATGAATCAATCTTCCTTAAAATTTCGAACTTAGTGTAATGAGTTTTTTGGACAATTCGAGCAACAGATTTCAATAAATCTGCTTTAACTTTGTGCTGTCGAAAATCTGCATTGGCATCCCTTAGATAAACCTGTGTCTTTGTAATATTAAGCGACTACAACGGCACCTTGATACTGTTTTAGAAATCACGATGTGCTGCTAGGAAGACGCAGATGTGATTATTTCTTGAGAAGAAGATATTTTTCACTTAATTTGACTGTCGATCAATTAATGTGATGGAAATGAACCCACAAGCTGAACAAGGACGTAATAAAAGACTTTTGTTGATGTTTCTTAAAGCTTGTTAAGTTAGGAGTGCTCACAGTTGTTGTCATCGGTGTTTCCTTACTTAGAATTGGAAGAAGAGATTAACCAAACCATATAATCAGCTTCAGACGCTGGTTTCTAAGACTAGTTGAGAGCCCTTGCCTTCATAAGCTACAACTATTGTTTATTCCATAGAACAGTGGTGTGCCGTAGAAAATTTTTGGAAATGACGCGAGCCGCATGCTGTGTGCGTCTTTGGTCATGACTTACCCATAAGATGTGCCGTGGCTCAAAAGTTTGGACAGCACTGTCATAGAATCTATTCAATTCAAGTATAGAGAACCCGTGATAGTTCCTGAAATCGGCACAGGTTACGACATAGAAGTTAATATGCTACAGCTTCAATTTCTCAAGATGCAATGTTTAGGCAACAAGTGTACACATCCAGAAACTGTATGCCTAGTAAAGTATTTCTATTAAAAAAAGAACAAGATTCAAACCTTGAATTGATTTGCTCATTTTTCATTAACATTTCATCATCAAGAACTCCCAGTATTAGGAAGACTCATTAAATCTTGACAAAAACATTTATTGAGAAATTTCCCATGCTAATCACTTATCACCACAAGAAAATGTCAATTCATAAAATTTTCAATGGAAGTCATTTATGATTCACATGTTTATCAAATTGGATCTAAAAATAACTTTCTCAATGAACAAAATTTTTACTCATCCACAACATGTTAAAACCAGCTGAAAGTCAGATATATTGTCTCCATAAATCAATAATAAACGTCATAGCGATACACGAGTGATGCTTGCAATTATCACATTTTATTTACTCGACATATTGATGCCTCCTTCAACAGAATTTTCCTTTATTTAATTATCATGTCCATCAATGACGGAAAAATTCGCATTGAATATTAAAATTAGTAGAATTTGTATAAATAGAGGTACAAAGTAGCAGATCAGATTTAGTAGGCTGATGTGCTGAAGTGGTGAAAGACAGAAAATGGTGCTTTATAAAATTGTGAGTAATCAAATTGGGGATGATCACTTATTTCGTATGAATAGATGGTTTATAAGTAATACAGTCTCAAAAATCAGTTCTTTGCCTTACATAATAAGTGAACAACCCCGAAAATGTGTGCCTTACTAACATTTTAATTTCATGTTAACAGCTTCTGACAATTTCGTTGATAACAGTCGTGTACTCGCTCCCATTTGATGATAGCAAAGAAAAGAATAGCACAGAGGAACGCGGCTTTAGTGTCAATGACATATTCAAACAAATTAATGTAATTTTAGAGCAAAACATTCAATCGGCAATCGGTGACAGTTCCGTAGAAATTGGTGATAATTTTACAAGCGGCAATAAAAATGGGGGAGTTCAAATAACGGTTGAAAAGTTTGAGTATGGAGTTGATAAGTTTCCTGTGACATTCCAGCCTGATCACGATGACGACAGTCTAGAAGATGATGATGTTGTTCCATTGGAAGGTGACTATGATGAGACCTTTATTTTTAAGGAAATATGTTATGATACAGATGATGAATCTAACTCAGCTTATTCTACAGACACAACAACAATTAGTCCTCAAGATATTGAAGCTTTAACAGACAAGTCTTTACCAGCGAATTCTCAATCTCCAATCACAGTCAGTAAAGAAAAGAAACTGTTAAGTGATGTAGCAGAAGAACCAATCCTGATTACTGTTTAAATAATTAAGATTATTGTGTTAATAAATTTTTCCTCTAATTTTACTTAAACTTAATTAAATTAAGAAGTCTAAGGTCTAAGCATGATGATTCAAGACAAGAATGATTGGAGATTATACAGGATAGATTTTTTTAAAATTCAAGACACTTTGTAACTTTATTTTGTGTTGGATGTGAATTTTTGGCAAAATTTTAAGTATTTAAGTACGGGTTTTTGGGAATGTTAAGTAAATTATTGACTGGACAATTTTAATCATTTAATTCTGTAATAAAATGTTAAGAAATGGGAGAAAAAAAAATGCTGGAAGGAATTTGAGTAATTTTATTTGCTTCTGGGTGTATAAAAAAAAATCATATATGAATTTGATAGATATGAAATTTAACTAGTCTTTTCTAGGATTTGAACCCTTTCTTAATTCACAGAATTGATAAAATTTTTATTTTGTGGCATATTTTGTTTTGTTAAGATTGCTCTTGAAATGTATTAAGATTAAAGGATTATTATCAAAATCACTTGGGACCAGGGTGCGATACAGGCACCAGTGCATAGGTGAGAACCGCACATTTTCTTGATAATTTATAAGGTTTTTCTAACCAAATCATAAAAGTTTTTGATAAAACCTCTCAAATTAACAGCAGCTGATGGACCATAATAAAGTTAATTAAGAAGAATAAGTAATTGTACGGTTCTCCCATGTGCACAGGTGCCCGTATCGCAAACCCTGCTTGGTTCTCTTACACGATCAAGGAAGCTTGGGCCTTAAAATCCTTTAATTTGAGAACTTTTAAAAAAACCACGCCTTGAAAATCTTGCAAATTTGAAATTCATGTGAATATCTTATTGATTAGTTCAACAAGATTTTCCAGACAAATTCTGAAATTAGAAACTATTAGAAGCTGTACCTATTGCAGTCAGCGTCAGAAACATATCCAAGAATGATGATTGGACTTCAAAACCTCTTGTTCGAAAAGAATTCTTCAATTCTCCAGTAATTTGTTTAGAAACAAATCTTAAAACACCCAATAAATGTCAATTATTCTGTAAAGCCTAATTTAACAACTTTCTAGTATGTCATATCCATTAAGACTAAATAAACAAGCTACAAATACATTGGAAATGCCGATCAACAATTTATTTCTGAATATTCTTTATCATTATCTTTCCTCACATACCCATTTGAACCAAGATAATGTTTGTGTACGATATCAAAAAAATCTTATCAATGTTTTTTTTTCGAATTTAATAGATTTTCATACTTCTGCAAAAGTAATACATTCAAAAGCTTTTTAGGAATAATTCAGAAGACTAAAAAATTCATTTACATTTTGTTATTTGCTTTGGATAGTCATTAAAAGTTAAAATTGAGTCATGAAGTTGAATCTTTCAAGATCAACAGTCTTAATTTGTAGTGTTTACACTTTTGTAAGTAATTATTTAGCACATCCAATTTTTTTTTTATTTCCACTAAATGCTGATAATCATTTCAGGTGATAGGTGTCATAATGCTAGTCTTATCAATTCTCTCATTAGTGGCATACGAATGTGTATTTCAAGAAGGCTTTGCAAGCACACCTGACTCATATTTCTTCCATTTATTTTACTATCGATCGCATCACTGCAATAGCTTTATAGACTGGTCTGTGTTTGGTCTGGAAAATGCTGAACTTTTAAATGATTTCATTATAATGCCAGAGCAGAATGCAATTGTGTCAAGGACGTACAAACTTACTATTATACAAATTATTATCAATAGCTTGTTGATTGTGGTGTCGCTGATCGCAGTTGGTAAGTTTTTGGCAAGATGGATTTGGTTAGAAGATAGAAACTATGAGCTCAATTAGCCTTAGGGTCTGTTTAGTGTTAATATTTAATGTACCTTCACTTTTTGACGGAGGATGCTAAGGTTAACAACAAAACTTACTGATAGATTAACTTACCTTAACCTTAACTTCAGAGCCTTTTGTTTAATTCAATTCCGTATAATATTCATGAGATAATGTCAAGTAATGCGTAAACCAACAAAAACTTTCCCTTACTTCAACTCAAATCAGTTTTCAAGCATTACCAGAGCCAGAATCGATTTATTAAGTCAGATTTGTTAAGCAAAGTTCAAAATAATCTAAAAATCAGTTCAAAACCAAATATTTCCCTAATTTACAGCTGCAGTAATCTTCAACATCTTCTTCCTTACAAAGAGAATAGCATACATTGTGCTATTCGTACCTTATTTACTCGTTCTTCACGTGTCGGTTGTGTTCGACTTTATAGCTGGAACTCTCTATGCGGACGATCGTCTACGAAGCTATGTAAGTTAAATGATCACGATTATTATGAATTAATAGCTAATTAAGATTCTATTATGCCAAATTAAATGCTAATTTGTATGACTCATCACATCAAACATCGACAGTCCGTTGATGGCACAATGACAATGTTAGAAATTGAGAATCGAAATGAAGCAAGACCATTTATAGAACAAATTGATCAAACATTCCGAATTATAGCACCAAATACGATGTTCTTTATATTTACAAAAGCAATGATCATCAACATTATTAACGTTTTTGTCTTATTCTTCATGGTATTTGCCGGCTGGGAAGTAATTGATGGAAATAAATTGAAAGTGAATAAAAAGGATGATTCCAAAAACCCAGAAAATATTACAGCAGCAACACAGCTAACGCAGCAAAGGGATTAAGATAAAGAATTTTTTTTAAGTATTTAATGTATTTATTATTAATATTGAGTGCCTGTGTGTACACACCATGACAGATTAGAAATGAAATAAATATAGCAGTATAAAATACTCGGCCTTATCAATATCATGATTTATAGTAACAACTACAGCACTGAATATTTTGTTTGTGTATTTAAATTTTTGCTATAAAATTTATTTCTCAGTTTGTTTTTGTGCTTAGCGATGGAATTTTCGAGGAGGCAAATTATTGCCATTGCTCTATATACAACAGTGAGTTCAATACCAAAAATTCTCTTAACTAATTCATCGATGTTTTTCTACTTCTCGCAGTTCCAATCAGTGATTTTTATAATTCTGTCAAGTCTCTCAATACTTTCTTACTTCTGTTTGATTGAAACTCCGTTTACCTTATCACCGACATTTTACATGATTCATTTGATGTATTTTAAGTCACAACATTGTGGAAATAAAAGCGATTGGACGCATTTGAATGTAATGAACTATAATGAAGTTCAAGCTGACAGACCTGACACATCATCAGCTATCGAGAGAACCTTTATTATCTCAATTTTATATTTGATTCTTTACAGCTGCTTGATACTATCGAGTGCTCTTATTATTCGTACGTATTACTATTGAGGTCATTCACTTATGACGTCTATCAAATTTTCCTTCGAGATAAAATCTAAAACCCTCCAGGAAAGTCAATATCACTTCCAAAAAATTTCAAAAATTTGGCTAGACATCATAATTGAATGTGTAGCCTTAGTCATCGATGAACTTAATCATCATCAATTATTTTATTCCACAGTGACTCTGAATCATCTTGCGAAACGACATCTCCTAGCATGCATTATGATTACGTTTCCATTTGTTCTCACGATGCTGCTCATTTTCATTCTCGACAATTTTTCAGCAGCTTATTATAGTGTTGATTATGCGAGAAGTTCTTCAACATATGGCGCCATGACGGTAATGGAAATACGAAATAGAGAAGACATCCGACCCATTTTAGAGAAAGTTAATCCAAATATTTTGACATTTCCAGCTGCATTGATGATGTACACGTCTTTAAAGTATTATTTATTCTTTGTCTTAAATATCTTATCAATGATTGTCATTGTACCATCTGTATGGAATAATTTAAGTCAAACTAAAGAAGCGAAAGTGAATGATGAGAAATTGTATATTTTGAGAAGCTCACAATGCATTAATGTTGATAGAGAGCTTCCTATAAATTAGATGATTTATTTTTTATTGAAGAATTTAATAAAATTTTAGATGCTAAGAAATTTATTGAGTTTTAAATACTTCTAGTGGCCAATTTTAATCCATATTATCGATGTGCATAGCCAGAAATAAGTTTTCATGTTGATGTCATACGTTAATCAGCCTTAATCTTCAATAAACAAAAGATTGCATCAAAAAATAGAAAGTTCGATTAATCTTTATTGATCAATAAATGATAGAATTTGATGATTTTAGATATCTTATCAGAAAGGCTTTTATACTTCCTTGTTTTTGAATGCTCTAGAAAACTAGTTCTGATGATCAATAGTTCTTTAATTGACAGTAAGTCTAGAGTTTTGAATTTCTTCTTTCTAAGAAACTGAAGAGTTGTTTTTCAGACAGTCTAGACTTAGAAAATTAAATTAATAAGCTTCAAGTTGCTTAAATAATCATTATTAGATTCCATAAGATTTTGCAAGATGAATCAAGAAGGTTTTATATCTAAAAGTTTCTGATTGTTATGAAATAATCAAGAAGCAAATCTCATTTGGAAAATTTTAAGTTCTTCTGATGATTACCCACGTAACCATAAGTCGACGAATGGAAGATTTTATGTATTACATCAAAATCTTCCATGTATGTTCCATATGTACATTCCATGTATCGTACATTGGACATTATGCTAATATGAAAAGGGACGATTTTTAGTCGATTTTACGTCGATTTCACGTCGATAATTTTTTTGAACCAAAATCAAATTTTTTTTGACCGTTACAATATAAAAACCGATTAACGGAAAAATTTTGAATTTTTTTTGTATGAAAATATTTTTTATTAATTATACTATAATTTGTAGACAAAATCCAAAAAAAATTAATTAAGGATTTTGTCTTTGAAAAAAGAGTCGAAGTCTTCATTTAGATGAATAATTCGCTTGTAATTAATTTAATTAATTAATCACACTTTGTATGAAAATTTGGCTGTGCCTTATATAAGTGATTTCTGATTGCACTTGTGAAGTATATAGCGGCTCAAGAAAAACGAATGTAATGGATGAAAAATCGACGTCTATTGGATCATCCAAAAAATTGTACATTTAAGTCGATTTTTTCATTGACGGCGATTTTGGTTACGTGGGTAATAAGTTCACAAAACTCCAGATTCAACTATCAGAAAGACAAAACTTTTAAGTTCCCATCACGTTCCTCACACCTAGAAATTTAAATCCATAAAGAACCAAAAATAGGAAATCCTTTCATACACCTACAAGTAGTGCTTAATTTTAAAATTCCAAATGCGTGCATTGCCATTAACAATCATAATTGTTATTGCCTCAAGAGAAAAAAAAGAGATTCGTCATCGATTTGTTCGCAACAATCCAAGCATTTATTGCTATTGTGGCGTCGACATGAGAATTGGCAAAATATAAACAATTTCATCGTTGTGTCAATTTAGACGCGTGCATGATTAATATCTTGGGAATTATTCATTAATGACGTCAACTTAAAAGAGGTTTTGAGACTTTGTGATGCTTGAAAGTTTGAAAATAAGTGACAAGTAGAGTTGGGGAGGTATAAGCAATTTTTTATAGACGTCATAAATGGATGACACCATGACAAAATGTCTGTAATGAATGCTTTGGCAGTAGGAAATAATTGTAGACAAAATTTAAGGAAGTAAGGTCAATATCTCAAGTTAATAAGGTTAGATGTGATTTAGACACATATTAAATCTTAATGTGACATAATTGAGGAATCTACCGAAATATTTTTATTTTGTCTTAAATCCAATGACTAGTTTTTGATGAATTATAGCGATAAGATATCAGCAATTGGATATTTATCAATTTATGAAATCATTTGATGGATTGAATTCCTATCTTGTCGTGTAAGTTTACTTCAGTTTAATTCAGTTTGGACATCAAGTTGCTATTGAATAGTAGAGCAAAGGAATTAAAATGAAGGCACCAAAGACAATTATTTATTTAGTATCATTGTACTGCATTGTGAGTTGTGAAAAAAATAAATAAATTTTGTGTTCCTTAATGATCCTGTTTTCTTAGATTTCAGGAATCATATTTGTAGGAATATCAGTTTTATCAATATGTGCTTATGCTTGTGCTTTTGACTTCACAAAGTCTCCATTTACATATCTGATGTACTTGCTTTATTTTCGAAGAAAAACTTGCCATAACACAATACAATGGGAAACATTGGGAATTGAGCAGCTGTCAGTAGAGAGGCTTGATATGCCACCAGAAACGGCAGCTGTACTGAGAACTTTTACGTTTTCGATATTTTATCTGGTGTTGAATTTAATTTTAATTTTGGCAGCATTCAGAGCTATGTGTAAGTTTGTCAAGGGGTCGTTGATAAGTGATGTAAATAAAAAAAACAGGAACAATTTCTTTATTTCTCGTTGTTGAGTGCACTTAAAGCACTTAGAGATGTAGAGACACAATTTTGGAGGGGGGGTGGGGGGGTCCTTGGATCAATCAAATAACAAAACGTAACTTTTAAACGACCCCAAAGTGAAATTTTAATTTTTCAATAATTTTTTGAACCTAATTTACAGCTGGTATCAGCCAAACATCAAGGAATCGACACCTGCTGTTTTGGTCATATTACTCAGCAATTTTCATTACCTTTGTATCGTTGATAGTATTGGACTTTTTATCCAGCGCATTTTATTTAGTCGAGTTCTTCTTAATGTACTATAATTCAGATAATGTCGTAAGAACTTTAGAAATTGACAACGAAGAATATTTCAAACATTTTTTCGCTGAATTGTCCTCAAACACACGCAGCTTACCATCACTTTTATTTTTCTTAATCTCGTCAAAATTTGTGTTACTATTGACGGTAAATATCGCTGTCATATATTCCATGTTTATTGCTGTATGGAAAGTTTGTCGTGACAATCAGAAACAAGTGTTTAAAATTCATGAGATTTCAAAGAAAAAGGCGCCAAGCCCAGTTATGTCAATTAGAAGTATTGAAAGTATGAATGAAGTTCCACCGCTTAAATTCCAGACGTTTTCAAAATCACCAATGAGACGAGCTGCACCCGAAAAACCACAATCAAGTCCACCACTACCACCACCCCGAACAAACTCTGTTGTGTCACAGACATTTAGTGCTACATTAGACATAGCAATAGTTCCAGATAATCGAAGTATGAGCAGTACAACAACAGTTGAAGATATGGAATTTGATGACTTGCGCTTGCCAAGAGTTCCAAACGAGAAATCATCATTCCAATATCCAACCCTAACAGACAAAGAGCATGCTCTTGATCAAGAGTACGGTTGAGAATACGCTTTTTCAACATCCTCTCAAGATCCCAGTAAAGAGCATGTTCAATAGCGGACTCAATCATCTTCTAATTATAAAGAACTTGTATGCAAGTTTTTACTTCATAATCTTTTATATACTCTCAAGAGCATGATCAAAAGAGTATATAAAAAGCATGATCATTGACATCCTCATGAGATTATGCTCAAATTATCCTTGCTATATACTTCACAAGCGCTAGCAGAAATCACTAGTATAGGTCCTATATACTTCACAAGAGAAAGCAGAAATCACTATTATAAGAAATTATTTTGGACTTTCTATAGTTTAAATATGTCTTTTCGCCATTTGAAAGTTATTTAATTTCAGAAGGCATTAGACAAGATGAACAGTTATTAGGACATACCACAACACAGCGGACTCGGGTTCAAATCACGGCAATCACCAAAAAAGAAGAAAAATATCAATTTCTGAAAAACATGATCAATAGCATAATCACAAGCTCATAAAATTTTTTAATTAGTGAAATTAAAGCATGATCAGCTGAACATGTTCTTGATCATGATCTCAAGTTTTACTTGCATGAAAAACTTGCAAGTAAAAAAAGCGTACTCTTGAGAGCGTGATTTTTATGGTACCGTACTGCGATCTCCATTTATATGGGAGAGTACGCTAATTTAGCGTCATCAAATTAAATAATTGATTTTTAAAAAGCATGTTCAGAGCGTGCTCTTTGTCTGTTAGGGCAATAAGCTACAATGATACTTTAAACCGAAATACGAATATTTAAGATTCTATAAAACATTTTAATGAATGAATTAAGCAACAGCAATAACAACAATAATTGTAGTCATGCCTTCATACTTATCTTATCACTTATTCACAATTACATAAATGAAAAAAAAATTATTTACACTTAGTTATGATATTAAAGTAAACACCTTTATTGAGAATACGCTGTGGTTTGTGCCGCGCTCTCTCTCTCAGCTCAGTCATCAATGTGAAGTGTCGGAGTAAAGAACGATCGTCGCGTGAGATCTATCGGAGAAGTGTAAAAAATAATATTTAAAATATAATTTTTATTCTTTTGTTATTTATATTAATCACATAATTTAAATTTCGTCATTAGCATTGAACACCTCTCTTTTTTTTCATAAATAATGTCTTCATGAATAATATCTATAAATATGAATATGTTAATAACATTCAAGTATTGTATTATTGTGTAATAAATACTGTATAGTAATATCAAAGTGGAAGTGTGTTATTCTTCTCTCATTTTCTTGTAAGAACAATCCCGAGATGTACAGGAGTGAAATGAAACCGGTTTGATTATTGGATGTGATAAACTGATCTGTTGATGTTTTTGTTTTGAGTTGAGATTCTTGGATGATACGTCATATGCATCGGAATTAGCTAATTAAAGGTGTTTTCTAGATGCACTTGGGAAGCTTTTACAAGATGTTAAAGGAATTCATTCTAAAGTCTTTAAAATAGATTTCAATCTTAATTTAAACTTTGAAGTCGAAATCAATTCGACTTATTGTCATTCATGTTGGAATATGCGATTCCATGACAGTGTTGCATTCTGGTCATTTGTCTAAATCAGATAAATTCTGAGACAGAAATTTCTTCATAAAGATCGATTCTATATGAAGATAGAAAATCTAATCTACACAAAGATTATTTCTACATAAAGATTCGATGTAGATGTCTACAATTCTACATTCTTCTCTGATGTAGACCTGAAAAAAATGTAGAATTGTAGACATCTACATCGAATCTTTATGTAGATAGATTCTTTATGTAGAAAAAATCTTTGTGTAGATTAGATTTTCTATCTTCATATAGAATCGATCTTTATGAAGAAAGTTTCTTAGCTAGACAAAAACTATTGAAGAATCTACATTCTTCATCTAGTGTAGACATCTACATTTGCAACACTGTTCCATGTAATAGCCAGTCAAAGATAAATCATGTGGTTCAAGGGAAAAGTAAAAAGAGTGCAACTTATATATGGGAATTAGCCATATAATCATCTAACCCTCGATAGCTCAGTAGTAAGAGCATGTAACCGGAAATCGAAGGACATGGGTTCGAGTCCCGCTCGGGATCCGGTATTTTTTCTGTGGTTTTGTAATCTAGAAGTTGGATTCTTCCTTCTAGATCTTTCAATAATTCAAGCTTTGTTTCGTTTTAAATTAAGATTGGATTTTGGAAATAAGTTGTAATGATTGAACTAGTTTTTAGATTATTTATCGGATCAGAGTGTTTTCATGATTCTAACAGTGCAAGACTAAGGCTGTTGTTATTGAGTGATTGAACAGAATTCAGAACTATAAAACCAGCTTAAAACCTTTTATTTTATGAGAAAGTGAACTCGTTTCTCGTTAAAATGTCAATCTTTTAATAATTAAATAGTGTTGTGCAACATAATTCTTACCAACTGTAAGTTAAAAGAAAGGAAAACCATATTTTGTTTGCATAAGAAATGTTGGTCATCAATGGTGAATAATCTTCTATTGACGGAAATACCAATAATGAAATGTTATATTTTTGCGACTATCCATTACAACAATAGTAATATGCGGGTAGGAAATAATAGAACTTGCACAACTTGTGCTTAAACGAGTCAAAATACTAGAGTATTCAATTGGTGTAAGAACAATCATCAACTTCTTTAAAATTGCTTAAAAGCATTCTTATATCATCCAACAAATCAACCGTAAAATCACTTCTCTTCTGCATTACTCGGATCTATTCAAATGCAACAGGCATTCCTAAAAGTGTTCTTTGACAGAGTCTCTCAAAAAAAAAACAAATCTTCTGTTCATGTGTTTGTTGTTATGAGGCAATCAATTAATTTATGGAAGACGTGTTTGGTGTTTAAAGGCAAGACAAAAAAAAAAACATTTACTTGAACTGCGACTCAAAGTCTTAACGACAGTCATTGTTTGCGCATTAGAACTGTAAGTCAGATGTCGAAAAGCTGATGAAACGACAATTAAACAAGAAAATTAGACAGTTCGCGTTTTGTGCTTAGAATCTCGGCATTATCACTCAATAAAAATGAAAAGTTTCTATTAATATGCTGAAATTGTTTGCATTGTGAGTCATACAAGCTCGACAATAATCTTGAAAAAGTAAATAAATAATTAAAATATCTAAAAATGTGAAACGCTTACATTCTCAAGTGCATTTGTATGTAGCAATGTTTTCTTATTGATTTTATTTTTGTCTCATTCAATCAGAATTAAAAGGCACTCGAACTGATTAATCGTTTAATTGATTGTAAACGAGTTGTCAGTTTCGTTCAATTGTGACAATTTTCCTTATGATGATTTCATATTAGTGATAAGATAATTGAAGGAAGACATTAAAAAAATAATATAAAAAAAAATTAAAAAAAGAATAGTGTGGACAGAACTAATCAAGCATCATGGCGCAGAATAATTCAATAATGTACGGTGCGATTGTTTATTCATTGGTAAGTCTGAAAATAATTTTTTTTGCAAGCTTTAGAATCACGATTGGGAATTGATTCGGCTAATTAAGTTGAGGACTATTGAGAGTTTTTAAAAAACAGCTACCAAGATATGGAAGTGAAATACAGAAGTGATTTGTGAACAGAATAGGAATTTAATTATGAATTATTGCCAAAAATGAATTGTTTACTTTTACTGACTTTTTAAGCCGTGAATTTTTCTCAAAAAGATTAATGTGAGTTTAGTTTGGAATCTTTGGAATTTGGACAATTTTGAAGTCATATGATTGCTGGTTATTTAACATCTGCTTGATAAAATTTTGATAAGTTTTTAATTGTACTGTTGATTTATTTTTGAGAATGCAACTTATGGGTTCTTCATAAATGAGTGGCAAGTAGGAACGGAGGGGATAAGGATTGGAACAGGCCTACTTTTTGATGAATGTCAATTATTAAACGACTTTTCATGACAATGGACATTGTCTTCAACTCACCACATTAACATTTAAATTCCATCCTATATTAAGTGATTAGCATCTTGGTCTTTATCTAATAACGACTACATTTAGGTACGACAACACTTATTATACCAGTCTGAGCCAAAAATTAAGGTCTGCGTAGCTAAATGTACTTCCACATTTTCTCCAGAATCAGTGTTTACCCAAGTCATTGACAATCTCATGCAAACAGCTATGACTACACTATTACAATTTTTTTTCTTCATTTTGCTACTGAATTGCGCCTTTAAAAATTCTCAAAAAACTCTGTGGCATTCAATAAATCCGACAAACGCCTCCAAATAGTACAAACATTTAAGGACACGTGTATCTTCATTCATTAATAATGCACAAAACGTATCACGACATCAATTCATAAAATATGTGCCACACTGATCAAATAGTATCTCATAATTAAGATTCTTTGTCCTCACATTAAGCGGCAAAATGTGGTCAAAAAAGTCAAGAGACTGGAAAAAATAAAATAATTCAACAAATGAGATGATTATAGCAAAACATAGTTCAGGTATTTAACACAAGACACTTAGTCGCTATGCCTTCAATTTTTGAAATAGATGAACTGACCTTCTCGCTGCTATTACGCATAGTTTCTGTAACGACATTGTTTGCAATTAAATCGTGCTGTATGCTCATGATTTAATTTTAACAAGCTATGAAGCTAAAAATCGGAACGGAAGATTTTTTTGATTTTTTAAGGCATGAGCATTTTTTGAGCAGCAAACCAGAATAAAGTTAATTAATGCTGAAATTAGGCTAATCATGTCTGAATTAAACTCACTTTGATCATTAGCACCTTTCTATTCGATTAACCGACTTGTGCCATTCGGGTTCCTCTTTCGAAAGAAGAGAGAGGGCCACATAGTTTGAGATTCAAAGGTAGGGGTCCTCGATTTGAATAACTGTTTGGAACTGGAAAAATTTTATGCAAGTTAAGGACTTTCTGTGTGTTAGAACTTCATATAATATCATATATCTTGTTTGTTGTAAAAATTGTATTTATAAACCCTCCACAGCCTATTTGATAAGGTCAAGGATGTGGAACTGATAAATTAGATGTTGATGAATTTTGATAATTATGATCAGTTCCGCACCTTTGAATAAGATCTGAATACAAAAAATTCTCTTTCATAAAATCATTACGCAATTTCAGACCTTCATGTCCTCCTTAAGTAAAGTGTTTAAGTTTAATTGCAATAAAGTGCAATTAAAATGAAAAAAAAGTATCAGACATTATTTATGAACTTACCCAAAGGAATTCAGAAATCAGTTGATCAGAAACAAAACAATTCCTTTGATACAAATTTTTGTCACTCATTTATATGTTAAGCTACTTACTAATAGGTACAAAACTTACTATGTTCTTACTATTCCTAGCTTCTACTACAAATGCTACAATTATTTACTATAAAATATTTTTGTTCCGATGTTCTATTAACTTTTTGATAAGGCTGACATGACACATGTTGCATATGCCTTCACACATTGAAGAAAATAACTTGTTTTGACGGCGGAAATGATTGAAAATGCGATAAGTATGTCCTCAAACATTTTCCTTTGATTTGATAATTCATTCATATTTAATGGGTTAACCTTAAAAGGTTCATAGAGGTCAATGCTTTATTCTATTTTTGTCCATCTTGATTGAAAATAACACCCGTAATTGATAATTAATTACCGAATATCATAATTCAATTAATAACATAAGTCACTGATATTGATTGATTAGATAATTCACAGCTACGATTGAATAATTCTAATGCCACTTTATCTTTATTTACAGTTTGTAGGTGTCGTTTATTCTGCATTTGCCGTATTAGGTCTTCTATCCAGATGGTGTGTACTTGATGCTCAGAGTTCACCACTTGTTTATATGTTTTATATGTTCTATTATAGAGGTTTGGCATATCCATCTACAAATTAAGATTTTATTTAAATTTACTTATTTTTTTCTTCCTTCTGTTGACAGTTGAGAGCTGTGAGCCAAAGTTTCAGTGGAGGAAATTCAATATAATTAATTTTGTAGATGTAATCATGCCAAGTGAAACTGAAGCTGTACATCGAACCTACATATTCACAATAACGTATTTGGTCCTACACATTGCATTAATTACTTTTGCCTTATTGGCAATGTGTGGTGTAAGATGCACAGTCAAGAGAAAACGCATTGGATTTTTCTTCCTCCCATTAGTTTTTATTCTCATTGCCACTGTCATTTTCGATATTTTGGCGACTGTTTATTATGTGGTTGACTTTGTATTCGTCATGGTGAGTCACGCTTAATTGACAATAGGGATCGTCTTACTAATTTATTTGTTTTTACTTCCATAGAAAAATGATGGACTGATGAGAATACTTGAAGTAGTCAACATGAAGGAGACGAAACCAAATTTCGAACAATTGGCATTTTCATTACGTTACGTCCCGCCAATAGCTATGTTCCTAGTTACATCAAAATTATTCTTTTTCCTAATCTGTAATATTGTCTGGGCAGTGACCATAGTTCATACAACATTCTCAAAGCGAGAGAAAAGTCATGAATTAGAGCCAAAGACAAATGGAGATGCTGCAACAATGGCAAATGACAATCCTGCATTTGAGAATGATAGTGGTGAAAAAGTGTCAAGAAATGAGGTGATGTCAAATAAAGAATATGATGGACTATCCGAAAAGAGATACAATGACACAGCACGTGAAAAAGACTTTGTATATCCACATCAATTATATGCCACAAGTACCAAGCAGAAGAAGAAGAACGACGACGAAGAAGACGATGAAGTTTTTGATGATGATTCAATTGACTTTAAAATACAACGTCCAGTGTTGACTGCTTCATACTATAATAATTTACACAAGCTACAACAATTCCCTAATGGTACTTATGACAGTGATATTGAGGATCGATTAAATCGATTCAACAGCAGTAATGGAAACCTTGAATATGATGAAATGTCACCGAATATTAGTTATAAGGAAATGAAAATCAGACCCACACCTCCACCAAAGCCAAATAGATTAGATTTTCATACGAGACCCGCAACTTCATATTACCTTAATTCCACTGGTCATGAAGATTTAGTTTTATACAGACCCGAAAGTGGATTAAGTGAGTCTAAAGTTGATCGATTAAGTGGACATGTGAGAACACCTCAAGAATTAAGAAGTCAATTGCCATGGAGCTATTTCAGTACGGGTGATGAAGTGCCAAAACATGCTCTTGTACATATGGATGATTCTGAAATTCCAGGAACTCCATTACCTGACTATGACATGAATGTGCCGAAACGAAGACATTATTAGAAAAATTGAATGCTGCATTCTTAAAAAATTAGCAGAATTTGAAATTTCTTAGAAATCATGCAGTTTTGTGAATCAACTGCTAATTTTTTTAATGTAGATCTTCTCGAAGATTCAACCATGAATCTGATGATTAGTATTGTTATTTAATACGTACTCTAAGTATTACTTTTATAAGTATTTATTGTGAAAATTTTATAAATGTTGTAAATTGATTGAGTTGATCTAGTGAAAAAGTTCGTGATAGTTTTAATGATTAAGTATCTTTTGTGGGAATTTATGTCAATTTTTGAGGTTAAGAGAAAGAAAATGGCGCGAAAATTAGAACTTAGTTTTACAATTAAAATCTTTTCAATAGTAAAGAATGGACGGGGTCTGAAAATGCAGTTTAATGATGGATATCATGAAGAACCGACTGCACTAAAAATTTAGCATCCCAAAAGTATGTGTGCCTTTGAGACTTTGGCTCAAAGCATGCATCAAATGAATTTTAATAATGAGCTAGTGTTCCGTAAGTAGAAAAATTAAATAAGACTAAAGTTATTACCTTATACGTAATTGCCAGCAAATCACCTCCTTTATGTAAACTCGGCGCAAAGCTTGTTCATCGTTGACTTGATTGCAGAATACAAGCTTTCTTAGTACAATCGATTTTACGGGTGTGCTACTTGGGAATATTGTTTTTACATCCAAATTTTTCGGATTTTAAATTATTAACTTCTCATGATTCCATAAATCAAGCACATAATCCATTAATATCGTGTGAAATCTATTAGACCAAATTGCCATACCCAAATTACACTCGAACCTTCACGAAAAATTGACATAATTTTCTACAAGGTAGCATAACAAGATGAATTACCATGAATCGTAATTTTTAATTGACTAAAAGTAATATAAATCCAGTTTAATGTATTCAAGAACAAATTAACAAAAATAAATCATTAACATTCATTTCCAATAAACATAAAACAGTTCAATAGTCTCACTCAAGCTGTTTAGCAGCTTTAAAAATATTTCTTTAGGCTTTTGAATGTACGAACAACTTTAAGAATAAGAAAATCCTTCAATAAAATGGAAAAAGACATCAGGATAGACATATGCATTTGACATTCTGTATCCACTCAAGTTCTCTCTTTAAAAAATGACCCTCTTACCTCTTTTTAAGGATGTCATTTCGATCTATGGAAATATTTGTCAGATTCCTTAAATCTTACTCACATGGGCTCTTTTTTGTGAAATCTTTATGTCAACATCAATGAAATGGTTCCTCATATTGGATTTTTATTTTATTACAGCATGGATTTAGATGTCTTTTTCAAGGTTTAGGTGATTTTTTTCGAAGAAAGAAAAAAGTATCAAGATGAAAAAAGGCTTTTGATGCTTCTTACAAGTTCGTGGAAGTTGATTTTTTGGGTTTAAAGCTTAGTTTTGGATGTAACATGAATGTAAGGAGGATTGAATGAAGTATGGAGCTTTAAATTTCACAGTAAATAGAACATCCAGAATGAAGATTGAAATTCAATTCATTAAGTTTTTCTAATGAAAATTTCCTTATGTAGATGACTCAATTTAGTCTAATCCCTTCCATAGCAATGAATCTTAATGCTTAATGTCTTTCAATAGAACTCGTCCCATAAATAAATCTCATCACATTCGATAATCTTTTTCAATAAAATCATCACAAGAAAATTTTCCATGTTACGTAAACAAAAGACGACATAAAATATGTTTGTATACGCAAATATTGTTCCTGCTTGAGGCAAAACGTTTTATTATTGTGTCACAAAAAAAAAACTTTGCACATGACAAAATTTCTTGGAAGGTTCATCGTTTTCTTTTGGCTTAAAGGTAATTAAATAAATTTATTTGAGCAGGAAAATGATGTAAATAGATCTATTGGGCGGAATGTAAAGATGGGTAAGTTGAATTTAAGTTTTTTTTTTCGTACCCAAAATTTTCTTTCATTAAAATTCCCACAAATTTAATTTTAAGTATTTCTTTGAAGTTACATATATCAAGTCATGAGAATATTATTCAAATAGAACATTGACCGACTATCGACACAATGACGACAAAACCAGTGGCAATAGAATTTATCTAGATCTTTGATTTCTTAGAAATCAATTTAGTAAATTTAAGGAATAATGGGATGGAAGCAACAAGTTGGATGTCTTGGAAATGAGATTAAATTGATTCAAATGACGCAAAAATTCCAAGAAAACATCATTTCTATAGATGTATGAGTTTATTCATGGACAGGAGGCTTTAAGAGATTTAGTTTGTGTATATCATATAAATCCGTTGCCTCCTTGGTTACTGACTAAAGTCTTCAGATTAAAGATGAAAGTTCAAAGTTTATGAACAATTTTCTTATGAATGAAATAAACTTTGAATACCTGACCTTGCTCATTAAACTGGATGTAAAGCATGATTTAGGTCAAGCAAGAAAATCAAAGGTGAATCAGCAGCTCTAATTGCACAACCAGAAAATTCAATTTCTCTTTCATCTTGTGAAAAATACAGTAATAAACAAGTGATGATGTGTAAGGTTCTTTAAATCATTTAAATGCGTACGAGTTTATAGTTGATTTAATACACAATGTTGAAAATGCTTGGAAGTATGATTAACATATTCTATGTGTATCGAGACGAGGAAGAAGAAAATTACATTTTCTCTTCCTAGAAATAATATCCTGTTGATTTCCTCTACTCCATCTATTATGTATACATCCAAGAAAAATTTCTTAAGGTCAAATAGATTTACATGATGAAAATCAGAGCATCAAACTTTCTGTTATGTATGCATTATGATGTATGAAACAGTATCACATGTTGATGAAAAATAATGTAAATTTTTCGTCAGATGCCGTCATCGATGGCGTCAATACTCTCATTTTCTCTCTCCATTTCCTCATGACTCTCGTATCGTATAAACATTTTCTGGATTGTTATTCTTATTTCAATGCAAACATACCGAAAGAGAAGAAAAAAGCAATTTTTATCACCGACTGTGCGTTTGTTAGCGCTTAAGGTATTTAGATGAGTTCCTAGCTATTAAGAAATGATTTATGTTTTGTTTATAAATGGGGAAAATGAAATAAAAAACTGTTCGTTTATTACGTCACACTCATGCTAATTACAATCGTATGTGCTTTAATCTAGATCCCAACATTGAGATCAGGTGTGTGTTTAGGGATTTTTGTTGGGACATCGAAAGTTATGTGCTTATTTCTGATAATTATAAACTCACTTTCTTACTGTGATTGAATGAGGACTTATTGCCATGCTTAGTCAGTGTCCAATCCAAAAGGGGTACTCGGGGTGCTTTATTATAGTCTCAGATAAACTTTATTTTTAACTCATATTGAAGTTGCTCTATCGAAAGCCATTCTTTGGGTAGATTGACTATAGTAGCTTCATAGCCCTAGAAACTCCTTTTGTTAGTATACTTCGAAATCTTCTGTCAGTTCAGGATGTTAAGATTTCTACAGCGTTCATTTCTACACATCCAAGCAGATTTCTTAAATAATCATGTAATTGATATCAAAGGAGTTTAAGGTTCAAGAAGGTGGGATTCGAACCCACATTTTTAACAATAAGGATATTTGATTTCAGATTAGGTAATTTAACCAGTCGGTCAATTGGTTATTTGAGTCTCATTTGACATTTTTCTCATCATTAATGACTGAAATTCTAAGATTAGGTTCGAAACCACAGAAAAACAACATGATATCAAAAACATGATTCATCTCCCTACAAATGTTCACACATTAATTTCCTGTATCTACATGGAGTCAATTATAGGAGTTCAAGTCATTCAATTACACCCCTGCCTCCACTCAAGCACTAGCTGTTACTTTAAAGCGAATAATTAAATATTCCTATTTGTGCTAGAGATAATTTATCGTGAGGGTGATGTGGTTTGAATCAGCATTAATTTTAATAGATATTAACAACAATTACACACGGTGCTTCAGCAGATTCTCTCATTTCGAATTATATTTTGTGGATTTGAATCGACCATAATTCATGAATGTATGTGCAGAATATGCTATGACATAAATTATGTTCAAGAACTCTCGAAAAATTTATTCTCCCTCGTTTCCATTGTTTATGTTGAGCTTGTTGATCTTTTTTTGCTGCCTCTTCTTAAACTCAATGTAAGTTGAGAAGAACAAAAAAAAATTTTTTTTGGGACTTTTTTTTCCTCGCAATTTATTTTGCTCTTTACATAATCAGAAAAGAACTTTATTTTTTAAAAGTTCCTGGAAGGAATTGAAGGTTTACTTAAAGAGATTAATTTTCTTGTTTAAAAAATAAAAATGTATTTAAATTTTATACATCTCAAAAGTTTAAGAAAAGTTAAAACATTTACATTTATTATTATACAAACACAAACACGTGTTGATATGAAATTACGGATAGGAATAAAATCGATTTTTATATTCACAGTGTGGTCGATAAGTGTACTAAGCATTTTATTTTCAAATTTTTTAATGTCTTGGGTACCACAGGGGTAAAAACCACTTGATGGAAAAATTTTATTTCCTCCTTGGATACCATTAACTTTTGGTTTTTGTTGTAAGTCTCAAAGTAAAGCCGGATGAACTATAATACCATAAATAATGTTAAGAGCAGCTAATAATTTGACAAAGCATTCTGCCAAGCTTCATAGTAACCCTCGATAGCTCAGTGGAAGGAGTATGCGTCTGGAAATCTTAAGGATGTGGGTTCTATTCCCGCTCGGTTCAAGTTGTTCGGAAGCTTACTTTTCTGCTAAAAAATCAATATCAAGTTTCTCAAGTATTAAAATCAAGTTCAAACAGTGTTTAAAACTAGGGTCTTTAGATCTCCAACAAACATTCAAGAAATGAATCTTGAGATCTCCTTCAACAAGCATTCAAGACATGAATAATTACTTTAGAAGATTTGGAACTGAATTCTGACAAAAAAGTATCCACCTTATGCTGGAAACAAGTTGTAAAAATTTAATTTCCATCTCATCCCTTAATAAGGTCACGAAAGCTGTAAAACAGCAAGGAAAATTCTTAATTTTCTTCATTCAAAGTTGAAATAAAAATTTACACAATAAAATAAATTAACTCTCGACCATCTGCCATTGTCTTCTTTAACATTCAGAACGCTCCCTTTTTGCCTAGTGTCTTATTAATTTATTACATTATGAAACAACTCGTAATGAAAAAGAGGACAACATTAAGTTGTAAGGCACAAGTGACGATGATGATTGTAAGGAGCTATCCTTTAAATGTGACACTCACATACTCGTGTTGAATTGATTCGTAACTTTTGATGAAAAAAAAAAGCTCTTAGATATGAGAGATAAAGCCCTAGTGGACGCAGCTGAAGAGAAAATATATAGTCAGATTGTTTTTATTTGTACACGTTTTTAATATGACTTTTTGCCTTTTTTTTTTGCTCATCTTTCTCTGAGCGTACACAAAAAGTGTATAGAGCATAGATGCGAAATTATGTTGTGATATTGAGTTATTTATAGAAAAAATTACAACACTGTAATTTTGTAAGCTTAAGGAATGAGAAGAGCAAGATGGAGCGAGAGAGGAAGCAATGATTTTGGATGGAGAAAAATATTCAAAAAGTCTGACAAAAAATTTGCATATTTATTAAGCTTCATAGATTGAATTATAAATTAGACTATGTATAATATTTTTGTGGCAATATTTTCATTAGGAATGAGGATATTGGAATCTGTTAAAGAGCACTTCAGGCTGAATGTAAATTTAATCGATAATCACTTTTTGTGTCTTGATTGGATGTGGATTTTTTGACGAACAGATACGTTGAGGAGGAAATAATTCAGACAAAAATACATAACAAGGAACCAAAATATCATTTGTAGGTATAAGGATAGCATGTTGTCCTTATGTTCCTGGATTTATATGTAGGTCATGTTTTGGTGGCAGTAGAGAGACATTTCAATAATTTGTTTGATTTAGACAGAGCAAAGACTAAATTCTCGTAAGAGCAACAAAATCCTGCATTTAAGTATGCTTTCGCGATACCGAATTTGAGATACGGGAAGTCTCGGTCTCGAGAATTAGTCGATACCAAGAAATAGAGAAAGCTTATATTTAAGTTAAGGGTGTGAAACTAGTGTGGAACTGACACATCAGATTTTGATCATTTTTGATCTATTTTGATCAGCTCCACAACATTGAAATATGAAATTACTAGGATTCATTCAAAAATGATATCCAGTTTTACGAATAGAGTTGTGAGGGGGTCTAAAATTTTTTGGATAGACACCATTTAAGTGCGCTGGGATAGACACCACTGGGTTCAATCCCAGGCCATGTCTAATTTTCGAAGCTCTTTTCCCATTTCACCGTTCTAGTTACGAAGCTCGGTTCGTATGCTGGGTGTAGTTTTGAGGTCTTTGGCACAGAATCTGCCTCCTTTGCTAGGTATACAAGGATATACTAGCATCTGGATGACTTCCTTACGGCATCTTGCGCACACGAATTGTGACTAGGTACATTGCAGGGTTCATCAGGTCTTATGACGTACTCGTGTCTTTGCAATGTGCAGAGCTTGAAAGTGGCTCGGATCCCACTATAAACTGTAGGTCTAAAGGGTGTGGTACAATAGATTCTGTTCTAATTTGACACGCAGTGCCTCCAGCTGAAAGGCTGGGCCCTTCACACATTATTACTTAAGTACGCAACTTTTTAACAAAGAATATTATTTTTGAAAACCTCTCAATACCTGAAGACCATTGAGCATTTTAATTAAGTTGTTAGCTTTTTGCTTAATATTATTGCATCCTTCTTTTTGTGCAGCATAAATAACAGCTTCTCGTGTCATGAATGATTCATGTTTCTTTTATAACAATAATAAACACAGCATGTCGCTAAGAACTTTGCCTCGATATTGTCAATGTTATTGCTATTAACATTATTATTATTGCTGTTGTTGTTATTGTTCTACGTCCAAGAATAGGAATGAATTATACTTGAGAGGAAGGAAGGAAGGAAGTCAAAGAAAGAATAAAATTGTGGGATATTCTATGAACAATGTGTCGCTGCTAATTGCCGTAAAGAACATTTTTATTCATAAAAAGATAATCACTTAAATAGCTTTTTTTTCAAAACGAGGCAAGGAAATTGATTTTTCCCTCAACTTGATTCCTTTTTTAATTTTTTTACAATTTTCCATTATGTGCAAACACCATCATATATGCCATTGTATATACATATATGTGTTTATACTAGAAGAGGATTGATGATGATGAGGAGAAACTGCAAAATGTACAATAATAAATTTATGTGGAAGAGATATAAGGAACAATTTTTTATATGGAAAAGAATCATTATTGAACGTTCGACGCTTGCCATTGTAATAATTCGATTTCTTTCTGCTTGATATTGATGGAAAATTTTGTAACAATATCATCGGTTAGGACGATTTTTTAAGCTTTCATGACTTAATCAATGGAAAGTGAATTTAGATTGAATTAAGGGGAAAACAGCATGGTGTGGAAAAAGTTTTGATCAAAATCTAGACTGGTTCACATCACGATGAACCCCTTGAACCTTTAAATCAAATAGCTAGGAAATCGCAATGAAATTTTTTATTACCACGTGGTTATCCCCTAGAATTAAATTCAAGAAAGGACCACAAAGTGGAATTTTTTTTATCAAATTGAAGGCTGATTTTATGATGATTTGATAGCAAATTTCTGTTACTATCATGTCATCATATCTACAGATCATAAATTTTCAGAAACATACCTTTTTGCTGCTATTTGATGATGTATTGCTGAGTATTGATTTTTTGAGGAAAAAGAAATAAAGAAATTTTCATCATAGTAAGCATTTGATTTTATTTCATTTTCTGAAGAAAAATTTTCACAGTGCTACGTCTAGAAAATCTTAAATCCATAGAAGCTATAAAGCAGCACATTTAATCCCTCAAACAAGAAACCAGCAACAGATACACAGTAATTAAAATTCACAATGGCAAATCAGTCCTTAGCAATTCAAAAACTATTAGTGGCTGAAAAGCGTGCAGCTGATAAAGTTGCAGAAGCAAGAAAGCAACGACAGAAGCGAATTAAGAAGGCAAAAGATGATGCACAAAATGAAATTGAGAAATTTCGTCAGGAACGTGAGAAACAATTTCTGGAATTTGAGTCAAAATTTATAGGATCTCGGGAAGATATGGCTGTTAAAATTGATGCTGATATGCAGGCTCGTGTAGAGGAAACACTTAAAGCAATTGATGACAATAAAGAGAAGCTTATCAAGGATATTATCCATTTGATCTGTGAAATCAAGCCTATAGTTCACAAGAACTATTTGTTGAGACGTGAAAATTAAATTTTGTAATGACATGATGTGCTGCATTAAAATTGAAATTTGTTGATTGATCGGACGTGAATGTGATTGTTTTTTGCATTTTTCACGAAGCAGATGAGTGACTTTTATATGTTTTGTACGGATGACAGGAACGCTTAAGGTAAAATCAATCTTGTATTATTTTTAAAGTTCTTATAAGTCGTTGACAATATGGAATCAACTTTAGTCGACTAATCCATGCGAAATTCTAGCCAGTTCCAACTAGCATTATTGTTGAACAAATTCCTACTTATAACTTCCTTACACTCAAAGTATTTTGAAGATATCCCGAAAAACTCAAGTCAGTTAATCAAATAGAAATCCTACATTATGCTGACATAACTCTCAGATTTCTATTCGATTAACCAACCTGTTCTATTTAGGTATATTTCCAGAGTTGCGATCTGTCACAGGCACAGATCTGTTATTGATTCACACGCACAGATTGTCACAGACACTGGATGATAACAGACAGCATATGTGACAGATCTGTCACCTGTGCCTGTGACAGATGACCTGTACCTCTGTATATATATCATAAGATCCAGTAAAAGATTGAATATTCATGGTTTATTGTTAATAATCTCAAACTTTAAAAACAACTGCTTAGAAACAACCCTTATTGACTGTTATTTTCAAAAGAAAAATTTCCAATCTGTGGTAGGCAAACGGATCTTATTTTTAGAACAATTATATTTAATACTTTTTTAGTAGTCCTTATTTTTAGAACTTAATCCGTTATGAATTTTAGCCAATCAGAAAATTTTGTTAATTTTCAGCCAAAATCCTTGTGTTTTCTGACAGATTACTATTTTAAACATAAAACAGATACACATTCTTTGTTTTAAACTATTTATGGATTCAATATTTCATCTGGTTTTGATAAAATTTCGCGTTTTCTTTTTCAAATATTTTTCGTCAAAATGTAAACAAACATGACGAAGGAAAAAATTATTTGAGAAATCTCAAAGTCTTGTGAATTAATCTACTTAATGCTAATTTTTTGAATATCAAAATGTTAACTGACCCAAAAAGGCTATGAAATAAACTAAGTTCTATATTATTTAATAGCAAAATGACTTAAAAACAACAAAACAAATTATGATCAAATAACGTTTTTCCTGAATTTAAATTTTACTGCCCGAAATGTTTAAAAATTCAAATTCAAATCTTTAAAGTTTCAACTGATTTTATAAGCTCTTTGCCGACCACAGATATATATATGTATGACAAATAACTACAAACCCATTCTCATGAAAATTCCATAAATATTTGGGCAACATCACAAAAAAAAACTTTCATTGTTTAATTAAATGCGGCAAAACTTTCCATCACTCATCCAAAGGATGAAGACAAAGAAGAAGTGTGTTATTGCTATATTATATGCCATAAATAGTTCATCATGATTTCCTTTTCTTTCTTTAATACCATCATGTGTAATGATGATAAAAGATGGCTGTGGCAAGAATACTTTTGTATATAAAAGGAATGACGTGATAAATATTGAATCATATGTTACCTATGATATATACCAGAACAGAGCGAGAACGAGTGCAAAAAATAATGAAACTTTTTCTTATAAGACGAATACAATGACGTAAGCATGTAAGAAGGAAAAAGTGCTTATTAGTCTATTTTTTTTGAGAGTAAGGAAAACTTTTCAAGTCTTTGGAGAGTATAAACACTAGCTGAGAGATGACGAGAACAATTGTCATAGTAAGAATATTTTCATGACGACGATAAATTATGTAAGAACTTTGTTCCTTAGTCTTCTACTTGATGGTGGGGACGTAAACAAAGAGGTGTGATAATAACTTGATCTATTTATAAAATATTATTATGAGATTATGTGGAAGTCTCTCAGACATCTTTCGTTAAGTTTTTCGTATAAGGAAAAATTGAGAATTTCTCAAATAAAAAAATTACAAAACTTGTATCCACAGTTCCATTTGAGAATTCTACGCGTTTAGATCGCATTATAGTGTATATTCAATATTATCGTCATTACATATATACTTAATAATATTTATTATGGACATTTCTATCTAAAATGGAATAAAGGAACGAGAGAGAGTGCGAGTGGAGAATATATAAAATTTTTTCAGTTAAGATGAAGCATATGGACAGTGAATTCCATTAAGCTAATGAGTTTTTGATAAGATTCTACTACAATAAATAACATAGGGAGTTATACTATATATAGGTACTATTTTATATACATAATGTTGAAATATAATACACAAAAAAAAATTGAGAATGAGGAAATTTGCTACTTATGTGAAAGGAAGCAGAAACGTGATAGAATTTTATTTCATTTATTTTTTTACTGAGCTTTAATAGAAAGCTGTTGTTGCATACTTAAGTCTGTCTGTCTATTTGATTTGGGTGACAGTTTTCTTACTTACTCATGTCGCTAGCCGTATAGATCAATTGTGACAATTGCCTCCCTTAGATTGCGCCTAAAACTGGCTCCATCGCTGGCTACCGTTTGCTAATTACCAATACCAAATGTCAACAGCTTCTTTCCAAGAGTTTTTGGGACGTCTCGCATGTTAATGGGAGCTTCAACAAGTTTCGTAACGACATGTCGAGCTCAACGGAGCCTGTTAACTTTGAGTTTACAGTTTATTCTATATTATGAACATCCAACTACCTCTTTGACTCTAAAACGGAAGCCTTTGTGAAGCATCACGGGCGCTTTTGAATAGCCTAGTATTTGAGAATAAGGATATGAGGAATCTAAAGCTTTGATTGCTTGCATTTCATCTTGAATTTGAATTTCTATTGATTATCTAGCTTTCTCCTAGGGGTCGTTCACTTATGACGTCCGAAATTAACGGTCATTTTTCAAAAAAGAACAATGGATTTCCTGGAATTTCTATTGTTCATTCTTGCTGACCCTACCCCCCCCCCCCCCCCCCCCCCCCCCTCCTGGACATCATAAGTGAACGGCCTCCTATTGTCTTGTGTTATTTAGCTACACGCTTAGGATTCGTTTGTTTATTACGTTACGCTATATCGAATTTATTTTCAACTTCCACATCCTCTTAAATTGTTGCATATTTTGTATTCTTTTGTTTGAGCTTTTACAAAATTCTAGACCATCTCCCACTTAAAAAGTGAGCAGCCCCTTACGATAAATGAAGTTTTAAGTTTTTGAAAAATGCGCTTTATAGCAGCACCTAAATGACATTTATTACATATTGTTTTTTGCTGACAATTTCTCTTGTTGAATTTTCAATTTTTCAAAACAAAAAAAAAATAGCGCAAATGCTTTCAGCAAACAAGAAAGAAACTTTTAATTTCATGGAGATTTTCATTTCTCATACGAAAATGCAACGTTAATGCTGTTCCATTTCTCTCTTTCGCTTGCCATTCGTATTAAAATCACTCACATCTATGTGGCAATAATAACGTTTAACGTCAATAATGATGGGTCTTATGCTATAATCCTGAATGATAGCTTTATAAAAATGTGAACATCTAATATGGAATGGAAGCTTATTATCTTCAAGTTTTTTTGATGATTATTAATGGTTCTATACGTTCATTGCCAACATTCAATCGCATTATAGCTCAAGCGTATAAAAATGATAAGTCAAAAAAATTCTAAGAAATCAATATTGAGTGTGAAAATATTCCTTAAGAGTGGGGAGAATTTAAAGTGAATCAATCTGATTAATTTCATGCCTGAATAATAAATTTCGAGAATTTATATAATTTAATATTAAAATGTCATTAGATATTTATCAGTGCTGATATTTTGTGGGGTAAATTCTGTTGGTATTATATAGAGGAAAAATTATGCTAATTCTGATGATAAATTCGATTTAAAATTAAATATTAAAGCTTTGTTGAAGTTTTCAATCATCGAGTCTCATGCAATAACAGTTTTAACTTACATCTGATTGCTAAATTTATAAAATTTCTTGGAAGAAGTCAAAAGCAAATACCGAATTGCCAAAAACAGAAGACTGAATATTTGATGACTTTATATTTATAATATCATGTTAAGAAGAGAATTGCGTAAAATTTCCATCATTTATTTACATATTAAAAAACAAATAACAAACCGTAACAAGTTGATGAATTAATTCTTGGAAAAGTTTCTTGATTTAAAAATAATTTTTTTTGGTTTGTGTTTTTTGTTGTTGGGTTAAGAGAAGATTTTAAGCATTTGGAATTGTTTTGTTGTTAAAAACTGTTCGACAATGACCGAAGTTTTCAAAAATTCTAAATCATCAAAAACTAACCTACCCTGTTTTTTCGTTATAAGCTACTCCTCGTTACTAAGCTACTAGCTTAGTAAAGTTTTTTTGAACATGAAAATTTTCTGTAATCTTTATTAAGCTACTACCAAAAATAAAGTTTAATTGATCTTTTTCAACTTTCTAAGTATCAGTTTCAATGCCTTAAGACATTGTCAATGAAATATCCCTATGAAGCACCAAAGACAGTTACAACGAACTAAATATGCCTGTAAAGTCCTGACAAATACTAAACATCCATTATACGAAAACTTAAAAGACAACAGCAAAGATCACAAATACTCACAACGAACGAAACCTCTAATAACTTACTCAATGAGACAAGATCTACGGAATTTGAATATAGATAATGACACAAAGATTAATAAGACACAATTAACACATCTTCCACCTTGGACAAGAACCAAGCACAAGTATGACATATCACTAACAAGATTTAACAAGAATAACACACCAGACGAAGTATTTAAACAAAAAAATCAACAAACTAAAACAAGACATGTACGAACCTTACTACACGGACGGATCAAAAACTGACGATGGCTATGGATGTGCTGTAATTGAGGGAAGTAACGTATACAGATATAAGTGCCATTCGTACAGCTCTGTGTACAGCACTGAACTATTCGCGATATCTAGAACTATCAAAATTGCTGACAGGAAAAAAAAAGACCAAAGTTGCTTTATGTACAGACTCACTTAGTGCAAAATTAGGGATACAAGACAGACAGACAAAACATCCAATGATTATTGAAATTCAGGACCAACTA